TGTGGGAAACGATATTTGTGTGTTTATGTGTATAAACATCTACTTAAATATGCATAGACTGTTCCCAACACAGTGCGGAAAATCTGTCAAAAATGCTTGTGTTTTCGGAGACAACCACAGCTTCAGCAGAGTGTGTAAGGGAAGGCTTTTACTCGTCACTGTGTGCCCCCAAATTATGTGTCTAAGTTTAAAATAGCAGATAAAAGTAATTATTTGAAAATTAAAAATGGATCAAATTCGTGCTGTTTCTCCAATCTAATCATCTATAAGTTAAGGTAGTGTTTTGAACATTAAAGCCTCTAGCTTATGTAAAAGAATGTTATGTTAAAGAAATGTGTATGTTAAAGAAAAAAATCATTAGTTTATTTCTTACACTAAGTAAGTGTAGATTTATAGTGAATAATTTCATAACAACACTGTGACACAAATGTGGACTTTCACCATCTCATTCCATATGCCACCAGCAGAGAAGCTCGCAATCTGACTTAGAGTATTTCAAACTGGTGTATATGCATATATTGGTGTATATGCATCTCTGACCCGTCACAGAGACCGTCAGGAATGAGTGGATCAGACTGAACTCCTCCCTCCGCAGTGTTAGGTTCTGTGCTGTGGGCCCTCAGCATCTCTCCTCCCTCTGCAGTGTTAGGTTCTGTGCTATGGGCCCAGCATCTCTCCTCCCTCTGCAGTGTTAGGTTCTGTGCTGTGGGCCCCAGCATCTCTCCTCCCTCCACAGTGTTAGGTTCTGTGCTGTGGGCCCTCGTCATCTCTCCTCCCTCTGCAGTGTTAGGTTCTGTGCTGTGGGCCCTCGTCATCTCTCCTCCCTCTGCAGTGTTAGGTTCTGTGCTGTGGGCCCCAGCATCTCTCCTCCCTCTGCAGTGTTAGGTTCTGTGCTGTGGGCCTTCGTCATCTCTCCTCCCTCCGCAGTGTTAGGTTCTGTGCTGTTGGCCCCAGCATCTCTCTTCCCTCTGCAGTGTTAGGTTCTGTGCTGTGGGCCCTCGTCATCTCTCCTCCCTCTGCAGTATTAGGTTCTGTGCTGTGGCCCCAGCATCTCTCTTCCCTCTGCAGTGTTAGGTTCTGTGCTGTGGGCCCTCGTCATCTCTCCTCCCTCTGCAGTGTTAGGTTCTGTGCTGTGGGCCCTCGTCATCTCTCTTCCCTCTGCAGTGTTAGGTTCTGTGCTGTGGGCCCAGCATCTCTCCTCCCTCTGCAGTGTTAGGTTCTGTGCTGTGGGCCCAGCATCTCTCCTCCCTCTGCAGTGTTAGGTTCTGTGCTGTGGGCCCCAGCATCTCTCCTCACTCCGCAGTGTTAGGTTCTGTGCTGTGGGCCCAGCATCTCTCCTCCCTCTGCAGTGTTAGGTTCTGTGCTGTGGCCCCAGCATCTGCTGTCCCCTCCATAGTGTTAGGGTCTGTGCAGATCGGCCCTCATCATCTGCTCTTTCTGGACTGACGCCTGAGCGAGAGTGCCTTCTGCAATCTAATCATCTAACTTACCCTAATATATGGACGAATGCTTAAAAATGACTTTTCTTTTTATGATTTCATACATGTTTTCAGAGTTCACGTTTTTTTTTTAACTTTTATTTTACAAATATAAATTTCCAAAGTACAGCTTATGGATTACAGTGGCTTCCCCCCCCCCATAACTTCCCTCCCACCTGCAACCCTCCCCTTTCCCACCTCCCTCTCTCCTTCCATTCACATCAAGATTCATTTTCAATTCTTTTTCTATACAGAAGATCAATTTAGTATATATTAAGTAAAGATTTCAACAGTTTGCATTCACACAGAAACACAAAGTGTAAAGTACTGTTTGAGTACTAGTTATAGCATTAATTCACATCGTACAACACATTAAGAACAGAGATCCTACATGAGGAGTAAGTGCACAGTGACTCCTGCTGTTGACTTCACAAATTGACACTCTTGTTTACGGCGTCAGTGATCACCCTAGGCTCTTGTCATGAGTTGCCAGGGCTATGGAAGCCTTCTGAGTTTGCCAGCTCTGATCTTATTTAGGCAAGGTTTTAGTCAAAGTGGAAGTTCTCTTCTCCCTTCAGAGCAGAGTTCACGTTTTTAAAGAAAGCTTCAATAATCTGTAAACTATTTCTCATGCTCTTTGTCACTGATGTATTCCACCTACAATGACTTCTGACTTCACCGTTTCCCAGGTCTTGCACTGTCTTTGTGGCAGCTTCTCTTAGTCTTTGTTTTTACTCCCTCCTCTTTGTTTCTACTCGTCTTGACTCGGAGCCCATCTGAATGGGTTAATCAGGGTCCAATGTATGGAGCTCTTTTCAACTGAATTCCTTCTCCATCCAGCTCACCACACTGACTGCTGACCTTTATGGCTGGAGTGTTGATTCTGGTCCGTCTGATGCATCCAGGAAACCAGGATCATCCATGCCATATCCTCTTCTGCACTGACAATCGAATCTTCTGGGAAATCCACCAGTCTAACAGCCAAACATAGGATCTTTAAAGTTTTGTTAAATTTCACTCCCAGCTGTACTAAAGACAAAATAAAATGGGTAGAGTTAGGTAAAATACATCAGCATGGGGAAAAGCTTGTATTTGCTCCACACAACCCACACGTTCTAGCAAGGACACATGCCTTGCCATCACACACAGTTTCTAGGTGTTTCCAGCATCTTCTCAGGTGGACAGCTTTGGCTCTTAGAGATTGTTGCCAGCTATGTGGAGTAGGGGTGATGGTATTTCTGCACAGGGCTGATGTGAGGATTTGCTGTAATTGTGCATATAAATTGAGCAGAACAGTATTTGGCACACAGTAATTACAATAGCAGCAAACAAATATTGAGTGCTTACCAAGAATCGAGCATCTTTCTAAACCCTTTATGCCTATTAGCTCATTTAATCCTCAAAACCTCCCTGTGAGATAATTATCCCCACTTGACAGATAAGAAAACCAAGACACAGGTGGGTTCTTTTACTTGCTTGAGGCTGCAGAGCTGGTGAGTGAAGGAGCCCATGGCGTCACCCTGTCAGCATCTACACCATGCAGACCCTCGCTGTGAAGTCAGTGTCCACGTCCCAGTATCCAGAGTTGTTCCTGCCTCCAAGTCCCTGTGGCTTTCGGGTCCCGTCCCCTGTCCGGCCCCTGTGTGGAGGAGGTCCGTCTTGTCCTCCAGTGCATCCAGCCTCAGTCCTCTGCACACCAAGCTTAGTGGCTCCTCTGGGAATTCGGAGCTGTCATGGCCTCCGAGATTCGCAGTGTGCGTCTTCTTGCCCACTCTCCACCCCTCCCCAGAGCTGAGATCCCCAGCTGCTATGGGGTAACCTCAGGAGCAGCGGTCTCAGCCCTGGCTGCTTCCCTTGGGATTCTGGTGAGAAAAATACCTCCAGCCCCATTAGACCTTCCCGCTTCTGCTCTCCCGTGGGCGCATCAAGCACTGGCGTTTTGAGTAGGGTCATCCTTAAGGCAGTTGGCGAAGCAGGTGCCATTTGCCCCTTTAAACCACCCATTCTGTCATTCCTTCCTAGTTCACTGGGAGCCAATCTAATTAGAAGCTTTCAAACACTGCAGAAATAGGAGATTAGTGGGGGAATGGGAAAAGGTCATTCAGAGCAGAGCTACTGAAACTTTAATGCGCGCATGAGTCACACAGAGCCCTCGCTGAAGCACAGGTTCCAGTGCAGTAGACCTGATGTTCTGCGTTTCTAACGGCTCCTGGGGAGGTTGCTGCCTCTGCTCGCTGGATCGCACTGAGTGGCGAGGGCTGTGGATTCACCTAGTTACCTTTTCCAGGCAGATTTAATTCAAAGGAATGGGTCCCTCGAGTACAGGATGAACATCCTTTCTGTGAAAATCTGAACTTTAAAATACTCCAGATCTGAACCTTTTTGAGTGGTGACGTGATACTATAAGTAGAAAATTCCACACCTGACCCTATGGGAAGGGTTCTGGTCAAAATGGCGTAAATATTGCATAAAATTTCCTTCCTGCTGTGCATGGAAAGTGTCTATGAAACAAGTGAATTCCGAGTTTGGACCGGGCCCCATTCCCAGAATTTCCCATTGTGTCTACACAGATATTTCCAAACCTGTAAACAACCTGGCGTGTGAAACACTTCTGTTCACAAGCATATCAGATAAGGGATACTGGGCCCAATTTAGAAGAAACGTCACAATTTCTTCCTTTTTGTTTGTTTTTAAGATTGACTTATTATTTATTTGAAAAGCTGAGTAGGAGAGAGAGAGTGAAACTTTCATCCACTGGTTCATTCCCCAGCTGGCCACAAAGGCCAGGACTGGGCCAGGCCAAAGCCAGGAGTCTAGAACTCCATCCAGGTCCCCCACGTTGGTGCAGGAATCTAAGCCTCTTCTGCATTTCCCAGGCACATCAGCAAGGAGCTTGGGAGGAGTGGAGCAGCTGGGACTTGAACCCGCACCCATATGGGGTACTGGCATTGTAGTAACCTGCTACACCATAGTGCTGGCCTGAAACTTCACAATTTCAAATCCTAACCCCCTAGACAGCTTCCCAGGAAAGCCACTCCTGGTTTGAGAGGAAAGTAAACTAGTATCTGTCAGCAGTCAGGTTGTGGTCAGCCCTGTAAACGGGCTTTTTCTCCTCCAGGATGGGTTAGTGACTCTCACGTGACTCAGTGCCTTTCACTCAGCACCGCGTTGCTGGGGCTCCAGGCTGAGTGTCGCCGAACTCGAGAGAGTGGTAATTAGACTTGCTCTGGCGCGGGGACCACATGTGTATCTCGGTGTCTGTGTCTTTGCTCCTCTCACACCACCTACATGAAAAGAATGTGGAGTCAACTTTCATTTCTGCGTCCTTTGATTTGGAGTCAGCTCCCCAGGAGCACTGATGAATAATTCTGTTAGAAATGGCTGCTTATGGTCCTCAGAGCCGGGAAGTACTGTGCAGAACGGTACCCGTGGGGCGCAGTGCGGCCGGCACCCCCTGGGAGGTGATGCGATGGCGTCTCCCTGTGATGGCAAAAGCTGACATTCTCTGTTTTCTGTTCTCAGGGAGGAGAGCACTGTTACTACCAGGGCCACGTCCGAGGAAACCCTGCCTCGTTCGTTGCCTTGTCGACATGCCATGGACTTCAGTAAGTACTCAGAGTGATTGGTACCGTCCCTCCTTTCAGTAGCTTAGGCCTTTTATCTTTAATGCCCTGTAGCGGAAATTCTTGTTTTATGTCGAGAAATAATTTTAAATCTGTGGTGGATCTGGCATCTTCTACCTCTTTGTGGCTTATAAATCAAGAAGAGTTTTAAAATAAAATTACAAAAAACAGAGACTTCGGAACTATAGGATGCCCTGTAGTGATAGCACAAGCATTTTTCTCATTTCTTCCAAAATCAGCCTGCAGTGGCTTGGATGATGTTGGTTTCTGTTTCTGTGATTGTGTAGCCTCTTGGTACCGGTTCTATCCCTACTCTCTCTTGACGTTTTTCTGTTCTCACGAAATAATGCAAGTTTCAGTGGACAGAAACACCTTGAACCTTTGCACAGACAGGAGGCTGCACGGGACCTCCAGAGCTCACGTACTGCACGCCTCTATCCTGCCTGCATCACAGCGGATTCTCAGACCTGTCCGAGGCACACAGCTCGTCCTTCCTTCAGCCTTCCCCCTTTCTCCTGACCTTTACTGCCTCCCAGAAGGTTTGCTGATGGCTAACCTGGGAACACATTTGCGTCCTGTGGGTCCTGGTGGTCCACAGTGCCCGCCTCGTGGCTGTGTCGTGACCTGATGCAGCTCCAGTGTCTTCGCTCCGCGGTCTCCTTAGACCGAACCATCCCACGCGATCTGATGCAGCTCCAGTGTCGCCGCTCCACGGTTGAACCATCCCATTGCCTGTGTGTTCGCTTTACTTTTTTTGTGGCGCAAAATGAGCCAGCACTCTAGGCTTACCGGATTTTTGTTGGGTAGCTGTAAAACACTGTCTTTTCTGTTACAAGCTACAGAGCTGTGACTCTGCTCTACACGCAGTCACCCGGTGTCCGCTCTGTTCCTGCCCGAAGGCAGGTGAGACCTGAGTCCCAGGCGCTCACCCTCTGCTGGGGAGGCTGGACGCAGCCTGGCTTCCTGCAGTGGACGTGATAGGCTTACATTTGTTTTCTTTCGGAGAGGAAAAAGCTGGGAGAAATGCCAAGGGGAGAGGTAACCCTGAAGAAGAGATCGGACTGAGGGCTCCGGAGGTGTGGTTATTAAATCTGGAAAAGACACCTGCTGGGGAAGGCTGGACACTGCAGCCTGTCGGCCGCAGCTGACCTCTGGGCGGGCTCCGGAGCAGGAATGCTGGAGAGGCAGAAAGGGCCTCAGTAACAGTACCGGAGGCCACCTGCTGGGGGCGCTGCAGACTTCCATCCCCTGCTCGCTCCAAAAGACCGCTTTACTTATGGTCAACACATTTAGAAACTTACTACTTTAAAGAAATTCTTTGAATAAAGGCGTTTTGTCTGTTTGTTTTGTTTTTTTAACAAACGTGGCACCTTTGCTGACGACCTTTGTTTCTTATCAGGAAAAAAAAAAACGCTGGACTCCTCAGGTGGTGCACTTGGTGTGCGTCACCTCCAGAGAGCGCAGCTGTCAGCTGGGAGCCGTGCACTTGGACCTGCTGACATTCCTGATAGCAAGTGTGTGCCGGAGGAAAGAGGGTTGGAAAAGAGAAGAGCCTCCCTCCCCTTCCTCTTAATATCTCAGTTCAGACTCACAGCGTGAGCACCTTGTTCAGGGATTGTTCAAGTTTGCTTCTCGGTTTTCCAAAAGGACCCAGTGTGGTGAGAATCAGAAAGTGCTTCCCAAGGGTTCTCCTAGTCATGAGAGCCTAAGGGGTAGTCGCTCCAGACCATTCTGTAGCCATTTTATTTATCTTTCTATTTTAAAACAAAGATTTTATTTATTTATTTGAGAGGTGGAGTTAGGGACAGAGAGAGGGAGAAACAGAGAGAGAGAACTTCCATCCACTGATTCACTCTCCAGATGGCCTCAATGGCTGAAACTGGGCCGATCTGAAGCCAAGAGCCAGCAAATTCTTCTGGGCCTACCATGCAGGTGCAGGGCCCAGGCACTTGGCCCACCTTCCACTGCTTTCCCAGGCCGTAGCAGAGAGCTGGATTGGAAGAGAGGAGCCAGGACATGAACCTGCACCCATATGGGATGCTGGCGCCGCAGGCAGCAGCTTAGCCTACATCACCACAGCGTCAGTCTTCCATAGCCATTTGAAGGACGATATAAAAATAAAGAAAGCTTACAATGACTGGATCAGCAATGGAACTCAGAATCCTGCATCAGTTTTTCTTTTTTAGCTGAATTAATTTTACCTTTATCTTTACAAACCTCTTTATTTAAAACTAAATAAATAGAAGATCCACCGTGTGTCTGGGAGTAGTCAGGGCTTAGCACAGCCATGTTGGAGCTGTGTTGGGCTTTCATGGGCCTGTTGGGTGTACTCTTGTGCTGTTGAGTAATTTATTAATGATGACTTCTGACATGGTCTTACATTCTGAACAAACAGTTGCTGAAAGATCAGTACTAAACATGAAATGATGTATGGTGTCCCAGTCGCAGTGATTTAGATAGGGATACAGCTATTTCGTCTGTGACTCATCCTTTATCAAGTACCCAGTGCATATGGAGGGTTTTTTTTTTTCTTTTTGTTTTTTGATTTACTGAATTCAATGGGAGAACTTAAAGGGGGAGATCAGACTCATATGTCTCCCATACTGAACGTGAAAGGGCACACTTCAGATTCAAAGGACTAATAGTCTACAATTTGGTGTGTTTGATGTTTTGACAAAATCCTGTAACGATGGGAACCCTAAAGAATGGAATCAAATGTGAGGTTGTTGCCCTCTTGTGGCAATCTTTAAAACAGCTGTTTCCTTTCAGAATCTTGTTTTGATGCAGCTGTAGTAATTTTAACTCAATTGACTTGTGATGGCTTGGTTCCAACTATCAGTTTTTATCAGATATGTACTATTATGGACTGAAGCATATATTACTAGAATTTATATAAATACAACAAAAAGGAGACAGTCTTCAAACAAAGCAAATAAAATACCTGTATGTTTTCCTGATTGGGGAATGAACGATGGCATCTTGTCATAGAGGGAGCCAGTGTGTCTTTAGTGTAGCTGGTGTCAGAGTCTGCTTTATCACTGGGAACGTGATGTTTAAACCCAGTGAACAGAACTGACCTTCCAAATAGACATTACCATCATGTAAGGGTAAATAATACCCAGTGCTACGGGAACAGAATGACCTGCCTGTGTTAATCCGCATTGCCATGTGAACTTTGGCAAAGGGTGACAGTGTTTGCTGGCCAGGTCTGGCCAGGTCTCTACTGCAGGGGTGGAAAGAATTTTCACTCCTGTGTTTGGTCTACTGTTCTGAGAAGGATCCTCTCTGGTTCCTCAAGCATCTGTTGTCAGTAATAGCGTACAGACTGCATCTGCTTATCTTTAAATTCCAAATGAAGTGTCATCCAAATTCAGAAAGTGCACTTGTGGTTGAAAACTGCAGATGTGGGTATGTGAAAGTGGAGGACATGTGGAAGATGTTACAGCAGGAATGAAAGAATTTGGATAGAAGCAGAACTGGAGACCATTATAATTATAGCATCAATGAAAAAAACACTATTCTGTGTTGAACAGCTTGGGAGTTATAACTCCATGTCCAACTAAAAGTGAAAAATTACTGTAGAAGATCAGAGCTTTATTCCCTTCATATGCATGGATGATACACAAGGTCTTAACTTTTTTTTTTTTTTTTTTATTTTGACAGGCAGAGTGGACAGTGAGAGAGAGAGACAGAGAGAAAGGTCTTCCTTTGCCGTTGGTTCACCCTCCAATGGCCGCCGCGGCTGGCGCGCTGCGGCCGGCGCAGCGTGCTGATCCGATGGCAGGAGCCAGGAGCCAGGTGCTTTTCCTGGTCTCCCATGGGGTGCAGGGCCCAAGCACCTGGGCCATCCTCCACTGCACTCCCTGGCCACAGCAGAGGGCTGGCCTGGAAGAGGGGCAACCGGGACAGAATCCGGCGCCCCGACCGGGACTAGAACCCGGTGTGCCGGCGCCGCTAGGCGGAGGATTAGCCTAGTGAGCCGCGGCGCCGGCCACAAGGTCTTAACATTTATTTATTTTTATTTGAGGAGAAAATAAATATTTTCTCGCTCTCCAAATGCCTGCAATAGCTGGGAGGGTGACCAATAGCTGGGTGTCCAAAGCTGGGAACCAACACTCAGGTCTCCCCTGTGGGTGGCAGGAACCCAATCACTGCTGCCTCCCTGGGTCTGTGACACAGAAACAGGGAGAGACAGAGACACAGATAAGGGAGATCTTCTCTTTGCTGGTTCACTCCCCCAAATGCCCATAACAGTCAGCGTTGGGCCAGGGTGAAACCAGGAGCCCTGGATACCATATGGGTCTCCCGCTGGGTAGCAGGGACCCAAGTTCTTGAGCCATCATCTATTGCTTCCCCAGGTGCACATTAGAGGAGAGTTGTATTAGAAGCAGAGCAATCAGGAATTGAATCAGGCACTCTGATACGGGATGTGGGCATTCCAAGCAAGGTCTTAACCATTGTTCCAAACGCCCACCCTGAACGCTGCGTTTCAGAACCGTCAACAAGTCGTATCGATTCTCCTTTCTAAACAGACCCAGGATTTGATCTCCTCTCGCCACATGCACTGTTAGCACCTTGACCTTGATCGTCTTCTTTCACCTGGATCATTGCAGAGAGTTCCCTGCATCTAACCTTGCTGTCCAAGTGATTATTGTCACACAGCAGCCGGGGTGATGGCTTTGAAACTCAAGGGAGATTGTGTCTCGTGATCACTTAGAACCCTGCAGTGGTTCTTTGTCTCTGGCCTGCACAACCGCTCGCACTCTGTGTTCCAGCCATGCTGCCTTCTGGCTCTTCCTGAAACACACCAAGATTCTCTTACCTTGGGCTCCATCTGAAATGCCCTCTGTCCAGATAGCCTGTGGCTGACCCCCTTCACTTCTTCCAGGTCTTTACTTCAGTTCCATCTTTTCTGTGAAGCCTTGCTCTGACCTGGCTATGAATCCATACTCCTCTCTTGTTCCCCACACCTTGGCCTCTGGCACCATGTTCTGCCCTTTCCCTACTTTGTTTTCCTCCCTAGAACCTAACCGCGTCTCGTCGGTGTTCCTATTGATCATATGTGTACTGCCCGTCTTCTCTGCAGTGCACCTGAGTGCCGTGGGATGAACAGTGGGCATGTCTCCTGTAGTGCTGCATCCCAGCAGCCAAAGCAGTGCATTGTGGCTTCCAGATGACTAAATGAATGTCAAATGAATGAATGAGGGGTAGCAGTCTACAGATGGGCAGTTCAGGAGCCTTTGTCCCCAGCCTCATTCCTGCTCTGCTGTTAGAGGTGATAGAATTTGGAAAGTTACTTCACCTCTTTGGGCTTTGATATCCTTGCCTGTAAAATGACAGCAGGTATCCTAGTTTGTGGAAAAGGTGACATGTGTGCAAAGTATTAGCTCATGGTAACCTGTTCAAGTGCATCAGCTCTTCTTGCTGGAGCATCTTGCAGGTGTGTGCTAGGTGGGCCTCTCTCAGTGTAGCAGAGTCACCTGGGGTTTGTTGAGAGTGTACAGCCTAAGTCCCAGGCAGACCTGCAGTTTTACAACCCCCCTAGCTGGCTGTTTGCTAATTAAAGTCTTAGAAGTGTGTACTGGAGGGAGGGGTAATGGACATGGCGTGAGTGTGGCCGTCCTCTCAGGATGAGGGGACCCGCGAGCGGAGGGTGTGCAGTGTCGGTGTGCCTTCTGTCAGTGGTGATGGCTGGGACTGGGAAGGGGCACAGGAGCAGGCTGGGCCCGTGGCTGCGGCTGATTGCACGGGGATCCCGCTGTGAGGCGGGAGCCTGTGGCCACGCCTAACTCTTTTCTTGTCCTTGGCAGCGGGATGTTCTATGACGGGAACCACACGTATCTCATTGAGCCAGAAGAAAATGAGACCTCCCAAGTAAGTGCTCCTTCTGCCTGCCCGGGCAAGTGTGAACGTGGGTGCTGGCGAGCTCTTTTCTCTCTACCGCATTTTCACACTTTTTAGAGATAGAATAGTAAATATATATGTGTGTGTATGTGTGTGTGTATATATATATATTAAAGATGAAATAAGTCAAAACCCCTGGCTTTTGAATTTCTGTCTCTTCTGTGTTTATATGGGGGTACATCCCCCCTGGGATGTTCTGAAACCCCAGATTCATTCGATCTCTCCAGAACGAACCATGGTCTCGGTCAGCTGGGGCCCCTTAACACTGGGCAACTTAAAGGGCAGAAAGGTTGGTTTTTTGGTTTTTTGTTTTCTCACGGTGTCAAGCCTGGGTCAAGGTAGCAGGTTTGGGTGTGTGGTGGGGGCTCACTCCAGAGGCTGCAGAAAGCCAGCTTCTCAACGTGGCTGGAAGGGTCGGGGGAGACGGAGAGATAGAGAGAGCAAGAGAGAGAGGGAGCGAGAGAGAAAGAGACAGAGAGAGAATGAGAGAGAGCAAGAGACACACACACAGAGACAGAGATAGAGAGCGAGGGAAACAGCGAGAGAAACACATACACAGAAACAGAGACAGAGAGACAGAGCCAGGGAGACAGAGTGAGAGAGAGACACATACAGAGAGAGACAGTGAGGGAGACAGAGACATACACACAGAGACAGAGACAGAGCACGCTGTGGTTCCTCTCTCTTCCTGTAACAAAGTCTGTGAGCTGTGGTCTCTTCCTCCTGTCAGGAGCCCAGCCCTCTTGGATTAGGGTCAGCCTGTGACCTCATGTAACCCCGTCACCTCCCCACAGGCTCTGTCTCTAAAGGCAGTCAAGCTCGCCCTGAGGGCTGCACCACATGCATTTTTGGGGGGGCTTAAACCTTCAGCCCTCAGGATCAAGTCTGCAGATTTGTGAATTTTTCACCCATTTTTTCTTTAATGTTCCATATTTTTTTCTACTTCCCATTGCCTTTAAGGCCCTTTACCAGTGAGGTATAGAAGCCCATTTCTTAACTCTCTCCCTAAACTTAGTTGAAGCACTCGTTTTCTGCAGATTAGAAAAGGATCAAATTATTAGCATAGATGATCAATAAACGTACACTTCTGCAGACAGTGTAGTTCGGGAAACTGTGTTATAATTATTTTCTGAGAGCCCAATTGATGGCTGACCTGTGACTTTGCTGGACAGCTTCATTATTCCAAAGGTAATCATATGAAATCTGAGTATTTATGATATTCTAATTTTTAAAAAATTTGATGAAGCCAAATGAAGCTGTTTGAGTGCTCATTACTTTTTTCCTCGAAGGCAAGCTTTCATCTTTATCTCTTGCTACTTAATGGAACTTTGTGGGACACCTGCAGAGTCCCCTTTGGGCACACACTGGGCCAGTCATCTGCCCCCCAGCGCCAGGGTGGCTGTGAGCCCTGCCGTGTTTGCCTCCTAGCGCTGCCTGGCTCCTAAAGGGGACAGTGATCCGTGGAAGCACTCAGCCACACCCACAAACACACGCACAAAACATGAGCCGCTTCCTCCCCGATGTCTCACTTTTCCTCGGGGAAGTAGTTCCATTCATTTATTTTCCATGACTGCGGGTCTTGGCTTCTCTGTCTGCTTCTAGCTGATGTTACTCTGGTACTGGGAGAGTGGCAGACGGGGTGGGAGGGGCTGTGCCAAGGAGAACCCTAGTCAGGCTGCCGTTCCTCCACGGGTCTTCGTTAGTCCTCCAACGACTGCGGGAGGCCGGCGGCGGCTGGTTGTTCTTGCTTAACCTCTGTTGCTTGTGTCCTTGCAGGAGGATTTCCATTTCCATTCGGTTTACAAGTCCAGGCTGTTTGAATTTCCCTTGGATGATCTTCCATCGGGTATGGCATTCATATATATGGGCATTTTTGTTTCCAAGGACGGCTTCAGAGAATCACATGGTGCCTTAGAACTAATGCATGTTGAGCTATCACTAACCCACAAGGCTCGTGACCTTCTTAATGGGGGAGTCAAGTCACTCCACGAGTGAGAATAAAATGAAAACTGGCTTCACTTTTAATAGTTCATGAGTTCTGAAGAGATGGCTTATTACAAAAAATTGAAGCAGAAATTAAAAAAAAACTGTAAGAGACGAAGTGAGGTACTACAGGAGATACAGTGACAGGGATTACTGGTATGTGTAGTAAAATATATGAAAACTCTGGGTGAAATGTTGGTTTGTGAACCTAAGGATGAGCTCATAATCATTTCCCTTTTTCTTTTCCTCGTTGTCTTAGTCCCTTTGCTGTTGCTGTAGCACAGTAGCTAGGAGTGGGTCAGCTATAAAGGGCAGGAGTTTATTTGGCTCCTGGTTCTGGAGGCTGGCACCTGCCTGACATCCAGGGAGGGCGCTCTGGCTGCATCAGGACGTGCCAGAGGGGTCACATGGTGAGGCAAAGCACATGTGCTAGCTCCAGCCTCTCCTCTTATAAAGCCACTGATCCACCTTAGGGCCCCTCCCTTGCGACCTCACCTGTACTAAGTATTCCCTAAGGCACCTTGTCTAAATGCCACCAACATGGGGATTCGAACTTGAAGTTTCACATAAATTCTGGGACCCTAAGCATAGCATTCATCTCTCCCTCTCCCTCTCCCTCTCCCTCTCTCTCTCTCCCCTCCACTTTTGTCCTGAGCATTTATAATTATATATATATATATATATATATTTTTTTTTTTACAGGCAGAGTGGACAGTGAGAGAGAGAGACAGAGAGAAAGGTCTTCCTTTTGCCGTTGGTTCACCCTCCAATGGCCGCCGCGGCTGGTGCGCTGCGGCCGGCGCACCGCGCTGATCCGATGGCAGGAGCCAGGAGCCAGGTGCTTTTCCTGGTCTCCCATGGGGTGCAGGGCCCAAGCACCTGGGCCATCCTCCACTGCACTCCCTGGCCACAGCAGAGGGCTGGCCTGGAAGAGGGGCAACCGGGACAGAATCCGGCGCCCCGACCGGGACTAGAACCCGGTGTGCCGGCGCCGCTAGGCGGAGGATTAGCCTAGTGAGCCGCGGCGCCGGCCTATAATTATATATTAACCTTTTTATTATTATGTGCTATTTGTGAAATTAGTATTTTCTACTCATGTATGTTTATGGATCCACTAAATGAGAGGTGTTACTTTGAGAGCTTCGCCCAGGTCTTCAGGTGACAGGAAGAGCAGTGCATCTATCCTTTTGGCCTCGTTAGTGGAGCAGGGTGGCGCAGAGTGCATTTGGTCTTGGCCTTGCTGTACTCTTTTGTTTTCTCCTTCTGCACACAGGGTGCACGGAGAGCTGGTGTGGGGGTGCTTCCTCCACTGTTGCTGAGTCCTGACTGTTCTATGTTTAGTTCCCCCTTAACCTCTGCAGCAGCTCTGTACAATCAGTATGATTCTCATTTTGTAGATGACGAGACAGATGAAGACACTCGGATGGCTCAGCTTTTGCAGAGTCCCACAGTTAGTAAAGGGCAAGGTTGGGCCTTGGATTGTGGCACTGAGAAAATGTCTTCGGGGAGACAGGCAGGAGGGGAAACGGGGAAATTGCCCTCCTAAGGGCAGATCCTAAGCAGCTGCTTAGGAAGTCACTTAGAAGCCTTTGCCACCTCTTCATGAGAAAGTGAAGTACATGTTTTCTAATGCCCCTTCGTCTCTGACTTAAGACCGTAGCTCCCTGGCCTCCTGCAGTCGCCAGCTGCCACAGGCTGTAAGATCCCATTACTTAGAATTCACTGTCTGGAACTTTTACAGGCAAGCACTTAGATGTCTTACTTTACACAAACTCTTGAGACTATGCCTTCAGTGACTTTATGGAACTTGTTATGGTCCCTATTAAGACAAGAAAATAAATCAAAGCTAGCTGCCTTAGAATATAGCTACAATTTAATAGGTATTCCTGGAAGCATTCAGCATTAATTAATATTTAAAGTAATAAATGTTCTCCCTAAAGACTTTCTTATGGACTTGCTATGATACAGCTTTAACAGTTTTTTTTAAACTTTGTTTGGTATAAACTTTGGAGATGACTTGGCAGTCTTGCTGCTATTAAACTGATTTTTAATCACATTCTATGAAAACTTAGGTCCACCTCAGTTACTTGCTAGTTTAAAGATTAAATTGAAGGTGGCACTGTCAGTTTTAACAGTGGTATTTGTCTCCCATAATTACTTATGATTTACTATGATGAGTCAAAACTGAAGTTTTTGTGGAATGAGCTCAAAAGTAAGCTTATTTGTTTTAAGCTTATTTGTTTTAGTCTGGGTAAATCTTAACTGGATTGTGGATTATCTGTCCTTTGATCTTGCTATGTGTCATGTGTTTCCAATCAGAGATTGGACCAGATATTTCCTAAACTTGTTTGACAGTAAAACCTTTGATTTTACATGGCATATCACTCAGGGCTGCTGTTCCTAAGACTGTATTTCGGGAAAGGCTTATTTGTTTCCAATGATCCCTTGGCATCCAGTTTTTAAATATTAGAATGGTCCAGAGGTCAGCGTTAGGGAATGGTAGATAAAACCATTGCCTGCCGCACCAGCAACCCTTATGGGTGTCAGTTCATGTCCTGGCTGCTCCACTTCTGATCCAACTTCCTGGTAATGGCCTGGGAAAAGCAGCAGAAGATGACTCGAGTTTTTGGGCCCTTGCCAGCCATGTGCAAGATCTGTATGAAACTCCTTGCTCCTGGCTTTTGCCTGGCCCAGCACTGACCACTGCTGCCATATGGGGAGTGAACTGTTGGTTGGAAGATCTCTACCTCTGTCTCTCCCTCTCTTCTATGACTCTGTCTTTTAAATAAATAAATAAATAAATAATTTTAAAAAGGTAGAATGGTCAACTGCTTAGTAAGTAATGGAGGAAGCATCTCCACAGCAGTTTTGTTGCAAGGAAATATACACGTTTTGGGTGCTACTCAATGAGCTGTGACACACGAATTGTCAAATACATGTTGAGATACGGAGCATTTCCATGGCGTCACTAACTTCCCTGGGCCCTTCCCAGTCAGTGCCTCCCACCTCTGCCATGCCATTTCTGACTTTATCCACCCTAGTTGGTTTTTGCTGTTGTAGAATTTCATTTAAATGGAACCATGAATCACTTCCACCTTCTGTTGCTTGGCGTATGCCTGTAAGATTTACATTGTCAGCAGTAGCAGGAGTTCATGACTTTAAATTTTTTTTGGCCATTGTGTTGAGGAATGTTTGATTTGCTTCTAAGTTTTGGCTATTATGAATAGAGCAGCTCTGATCATTCTTGCGCAAGTCTGTTTTGTGGAACCCTGTTTCAGCTTCTGGTAAATACCTGGGAATGGCATTGCAGGCCACAGGGTAGTGTCCTGAACCTTCGGTGTGTAGCAGAGTCACCTGCAGAGCTGCTGACCACCAAATGCTGGCCTCATCTCTAGAGTTTTTAATTTAATACGTCCTGAGTGGGTTTTGAGAATTTGCTTTTCTAACAAATCCCTAGGTGACACTGATGCTGTTGGTCCAGGAATCACACTGTAATAACCTCAGTTCTAGGAGAAATTGCTGAGCCTTTTTCAAAGTGGTTACAGCGTTTCATACTCCCATCAGCCCCCTGTGACTGTTCTGATTGCACCACATCTTGACCGACAGCTGCTGTGTTATTCTTTAAGATTAACTGACCATTCTTGGGTAGGGAGTGGTTTCCCACTTTGACTTAAAGTTGGATTTTTCTTGCATCTAATGTTCTGCAGTCTGTGTTTATTAGACATTGGTCAAACTTCTATCTTTTTGTTATTAAGTTGTGGGAATATTTACATATTCTGGATATAAGGCCTTTGTCCGATGTGCCTTATGATAGTTTTTCCCCATCTTTGGCTTGTCCATTTACTTTCTGGATGATGTCCTGTGATGAGTAGATTTAATTTTGAAGCAGTCTAAGATAAAATTTTATGATTATTGCTTCCTCCTTTCTAAGAAGTCTTTGCCTATTTCTAGGTTGTGAAGACATTGCCTAATATTTTCTCCTAAAATTCTAGTTTCATTTTTTGTGTGTAACTATAATCTTGCTCATATTTTATTTTGTGTATGATGAAAGGTGAAATTGTTTATTTTATTTTAGTTTTTTCATTTGGATATCCAGTTACCCTAACATTATCCATGGAAAAGAGTTTCCTTTCCTTACTGAATTGCTTTGATGTCTTTTTCAAAAAATGTTGATTTCAGAGGACTTTTCTGTTCATACAGACAGCATCTAAGAATAATAGCAATCATGATTCACCCTACCGTGTAGTATCATTCCCATTAGAAGTTGCTCATTAGACTCCTTCATGTCACTCAGTCACATCAAGTCTTAGGAAATATGTATCACAGGGAGCGATTGCAGTTTCTCTTCCACTTTGTAGGCAATTCCTCCCTTATAAGTAACCTGAGCTTTTTTCCAGAGATGAATCTGTATGCAGTAGCAATCGCTGTATAATTCTGAATTACAAGTTAAAAGGGATTCAGATTTTGCTTCTGTTCCCTGGAGCAGAAAGTCAGAGACAAATTTTGTTATGGGTGAAGAAGTATGTCAATTAGTTGGAAAAAATTAACTCAAAACTCTGGTGCCCTACAGTTATTTCTTAATAAATCATGAACTCATGAAGGAGTGACTCTTATGCTTCTTGTTGCTCCTCTTTTGCTCTGGAGGTTAGTAATAGAAATGAAATCATGTTGGCTGTTCAGAAGATTCTTATTTAGAAGATGTGATGATATTTATAGGAGAAATATTTTAAAAATTGCTACAAATTAGGACAAGGGATATTTGGGATTTTGTGAATTATGTTCTTCGTTTAGTATTACTGTAGGCTTCTTAGAGTAATGTTCTGTGGGATCATTAATTGCGACAGTCCAGGATACTTCAAAAAGCTCAGGGAATAGTGGATTCAATGATGTTTATTTTGCTGGGAAACTTTCTTAAATTCATGTATAGTTTTTCCATAATATAGACTTTTTTTGAATTTTTAAAATAACCAGTGTATGCATGGACTTCAAAAAATTTTTATACTCAAACAAACATGCTTTAATTCCACTTACTTTCATTTTTTCAAAAATCCTCATACTATACAATTCATAACAAGGAAGGGCCAGTAAAACTTTGATATGTATGGCTTTCTTTTTTTTTTAAAGATTTATTTATTTATTTTAAAGTCAGAGTTACATAGAGAGAGGAGAGGCAGAGAGAGAGAGAGGTCTTCTATCCGATGGTTCACTCCCCAGTTGGCTGCAATGGCCACAGATGCGCCGATCCAAAGCCAGGAGCTTCTTCTGGGTCTCCCACGCAGGTCCAGGGCCCAAGGACTTGGGCCATCTTCCACTGCTTTCCCAAGCCATAGCAGAGAGCTGGATCAGAAGTGGAGCAGTCAGGATTTGAACCGGCGCCCATATGGGATGCCGGTGCTTCAGGCCAGGGCGTTAACCTGCTGTGCCACAGCTCCGGCCCCTATTGCTTTCTTTTAATAAAATATTTATTTATTTGAAAGGCAGAGTAACAAAGAGGGGGAGGAACAGAGAGAAATCTTTAATCTGCTGCTTCATTCCCTAGATGACTAAGCCAAACCCAGTAGCTTAGAACTCCATCTGGGTCTCCCATGTGGATGGCAAGGGCCCAGGCACTTGGCCATCTTCTGCTGCCTTCCCAGGCACATTAGCAGGGAGCTGGATCAGAAGTGGAACAGCCAAGCCTCAAACCAGCATTCCAGTATGGGATGCCAGGACCACAGGCGGCAGCTTAACTTACTGTGCCACAGTTATGACCCCTGATTTCCATGTCTTAAAGAAATGTGATAAATGTACTGTTAATTTAATCTTTTTTTATTTGCTTTCAGAATTCCAACAAGTAAACATCAGTCTGCCAGAAGTTACTTTGAAGTCAAGACCAAAAAGGAGTGTGCGGCAGGTATGTATTCGCAGGCCTCAGGTGTGCTGTTACAAACACCTGGACCCTTTGAATCTCCATGGGCTCTGCCCAGCGAGAGGGTGACACCTAGCGTAGGTGTTTGCCAGGGTGTGGTAAATGGCATGGGTGAACGAGGCCACATGGTTTTGTAGCCCCAGAGGATTCCACACAGTGGTGACCTTGGAGTTCTGCACGGTGAAGATGGGGTACGAGGGCCCTGCTTGTGCCATCTCAGCTGTTTCCTGCTGTTAGCCTCTTTCCTTGCTGACAGACACATGCACCTCGCCTGGAGTCAGCTTGTGTGGTGCCTGTCCTTTTGTTTATCTCCTAACAGGGTGAGAACCTTTTCTCTGCTAAGGGCCATTTGGATATTTACAACATCACTCATGGGCCATGCAAAATTTTCAACTTAAAACTTAACCTGCTACAGATGTATCGAAGTTTGAGTCCTGCTTGCGGTTGCCTTGGCTGGGCCAGAGGGAACCCTTTCGAGGGCCTTGTCCGGCTGGGGGGCCAGATGTTCTCCAGCCCTGAGAGGTTATCTCTTGAGGAGGAATACATCAGGCTGTGAAGTCACAAGATGCTTTCATCTTATCTGAGCTACTCTGGAGTCCAGGATGTAAAATCAGGACAGAAACTTTATGATTGTTCGCCTGGATGTTAGGCTGTCATAATAATAACTTTATACAGTGCTGCAAACCATGAAGTAGGTACTGTTTGTCGCTCCCCCTCTTCATGGAGGAACGACACAGGACCCTGCGCTGTTCTTTCGTCTGCTCGGCCCTCCCCGGGTTTGCTGCTGGTTCTTCCCGGGTTGGCTACTATCCCTTCCACCTCCGTGGAAGGGCAGTTCCCCCTGGCCACATTCCCCACTTCCGCAGGGGAGCGGCACACCGCCGGCCGGCTCTCTCGGGGGCTGCACAGGTGTTCCTTCAGATGTTCCTCTTAGATGTTCCTGGTGCATGCCGTCTCTCTCCTCCTTTATAGTCCTCCTCTGCCAATCCCAACTCGGCTGCCCACACGCCGAGTACGCTGCTCTCCTCCAATCAGGAGCAAGTCCTGCTGTTTATTGGTTGAACTGGAGGCAGCTGGGTAGAAGCTGTTTTCTCCTCTCCCAGCGCCATATTGTGGGAGAGCAGATGCATAGAATAAGTCTTAATTCCAGTAACTTAGTCTAGTCCGGATTGCTCCCCACACTGTTAATTCCCTTATATGGAGAGAGACGTGATGGCTGCAATAGGTGGATCTGACTTACCCAGAATCATAGAAGTGGTAAACGGGCTAAACAATCAAGAACACTGGTTCTTAGAATCAAGATATTGGCCGGCACCGCGGCTCAATAGGCTAATTCTCCGCCTGCGGCGCCGGCACCCTGGGTTCTAGTCCCGGTCGGGGCGCCGGATTCTGTCCCGGTTGCTCCTCTTCCAGGCCAGCTCTCTGCTGTGGCCTGGGAGTGCAGTGGAGGATGGCCCAAGTGCTTGGGCCCTGCACCCACATGGGAGACCAGGAGAAGCACCTGGCTCCTGGCTTTGGATCAGCGTGGTGCACTGGCTGCAGCGCGCCAGCCGCAGCAGCCATTAGGGAGTGAACCAACGGCAAAGGAAGACCTTCCTCTCTGTCTCTCTCTCTCTGTCCACACTGCCTGTCAAATAAATAAATAAATAAATAAATAGAATCAAGATGTCAGGGGCCAGGGCTGTGGTGTGGTGGGTTAAACCACCACCTGTGGTGCTAGCATCCCAAATGGGCACCGGTTCGACTTCCAGCTGCTCCACTTCTGATCCAGTTCCATGAAAATGCACCTGGGAAGGCAGAAAAGTATGGTCCAAGTCCTTGGGCCCCTGCACCCATGTGGGAGACCTTGAAGAAGCTCCTGGCTTCAGTCTGGTCCAGCTGTGGTCATTGTAGCCATTTAGGGAGTGAACCAGCAAATGGAAGTCTCTATCTCTGTGTCTCTCTCTCTCTCTTTCTCTCCCTCTCTCTGCCTCTCTGCTTCTCCCTTTCTGTAACTCCACCTTAAAAAAATTTAGAAAAGAATCAGGATGTCCTCAGCAGTGTGAACGTGGTAGTGAGAGAGGAAACACAGGATGAGGGAAACATCAGTCAGTTGAAGGAATCAGGTGTCTTCCTTGAATGACCTTGAAATAAGACATGTTTGGACAGATTTCTAATAGGCACATTTTATTGAATACTTACCACATGCCACCCTAACTGTGAGAATTTTAAATGTATGAATACATTGAGTCCTCTTAACAGTGTTATGGGCAAGGAGTTTTCATTATTATCTCCATTTTCCTGGTAAGGACAGTGAAACATCCCAGGCTTGGCCAGTTCGCCCACGGTTGTGTAGCCCAGTACCCAGCTGTGAAACCGAGGCTCTGACCTGGGATGTCTAGTCCCCGGGGGATGCGTATAACCATGTATGCCCCGCCTGCTGCCTCTCAGAAGCACACGTGTCCCACGTATTACTTTATGTATGTTGTGAACAACATCTGTCTCTGGTTGGCCCTCCAAGTCTGTGCACTCATGGATTCAACCAACCATTAACTGAAAATATTAAAAACTCTTGCATCTGTGCTGATCATGTACAGACTTTTTTCTTATAGCTATTTCCTAAACAGTGTAGTGTCACAGCTATTTACATAGTATTTACATTGCAGTAGGTATTCTAAGTAACTTAGAGATGATTTAAAGCATACAGGAACAGGTGCATAGGGTCTATGCAAATTCTATGCTATTTTATGTAAGAGACTTAAGCCTCCAAAAATTTTGATATTCATGGCAGTCCTGGAGTGAATCTCTCAGGCATACTGAGGGACAACCAAATAGATACAATGTATGCAAATAGATACAGTGACATATATATCCCGAAACCGAGTTACATAGGTAAAAATAATTGCCAGTATGATTTAATTTGAATAGTAATTTATGACCATTTGGGTAGTGAACCAGCAAATGGAAGATTTGTCTCTCCTTCATTCTGTGCAACTCTGCCTTTCAAATAAGTAAATCTTTTAAAAAAGAAAGAAGAAAGAAAGAAAGAAAGAAAGAAAAGAAAGAAGAAAGAAAGAAAGAAAGAAAGAAAGAAAAGAAAGGAAAGAAGGAAGGGAGGGAGGGGAGGGAGGGAGGGAGGGAGGGAGGGGAAGGAAGGAAGGAGGGGAGGGAGGGAGGAAGGAAGGAAGGAGGGGAGGGAGGGAGGAAGGAAGGAAGGAGGGGAGGGAGGGAGGGAGGAAGGAAGGAAGGAGGGAAGGAAGGAAGGAGGGAGGGAAGGAAGGAGGGAGGAAGGAAGGAAGGAAGGAGGGAAGGAAGGAAGGGAGGAAGGAGGGAAGGAAGGAAGGAGGGAGGGAGGGAAGGAAGGAGGGAAGGAAGGAAGGAGGGAGGGAAGGAAGGAAGGGAGGGAGGGAAGGGAGGGAAGGAAGGAAGGAGGGAGGGAGGGAAGGAAGGAGGGAAGGAAGGAAGGAGGGAAGGAAGGAAGGGAGGGAGGAAGGGAGGGAAGGAAGGAAGGAGGGAGGGAGGGAAGGAAGGAGGGAAGGAAGGAAGGAGGGAAGGAAGGAAGGGAGGGAGGAAGGGAGGGAAGGAAGGAAGGAAGGAGGGAGGGAAGGAAGGGAGGGAGGGAGATAGGAAGGAAGGAAGGAAGGAGGGAAGGAAGGGAGGAGGGAAGGAAGGAGGAAGGGAGGGAAGGAGGGAAGGAAGGAAGGGAGGAGGGGAGGAAGGAGGAAGGGAGGGAAGGAAGGAAGGAAGGAGGGAAGGAAGGAAGGGAGGAAGGAAGGGAGGAAGGAGGGAAGGAAGGAAGGAAGGAGGGAGGGAAGGAAGGAGGGAGGGAAGGAAGGAAGGAAGGGAGGAAGGAGGGAAGGAAGGAAGGAGGGAGGGAAGGAAGGAGGGAGGGAAGGAAGGAAGGAAGGGAGGAAGGAGGGAAGGAAGGAAGGGAGGGAGGAAGGAGGGAAGGAAGGAAGGAGGAGGGAGGGAAGGAAGGAAGGAAGGAAGAAAGGAAGGAGGGAAGGAAGGAAGGAGGGAGGGAGGGAAGGAAGGAAGGAAGGAGGAAGGGAAGGGAAGGAGGGAGGAAGGAGGGAAGGAGGGGAGGAAGGAAGGAAGGAAGGAAGGAAGGAAGGAAGGAAGGAGGGAAGGAGGGAAGGAGGGGAGGAAGGAAGGAAGGAAGGGAGGAAGGAGGGAAGGAAGGGAGGAAGGAGGGAAGGAGGGAAGGAAGGAAGGAGGGAAGGAGGGAAGGAAGGAAGGAAGGGAGGAAGGAGGGAAGGAAGGAAGGAAGGAGGGAAGGAAGGAAGGAAGGAAGGAGGGAAGGTTGGAACTTGTTGGAAAACCTGCTGTAGTATCCAGTCATCCTCTTCTGCAATTAGCAGAGCAGATCTGTCATCCTAAAAATATCTGTTAGGATTTTTTTTTTGAAGATTCTTCTTATTGGTCACAGATTACTGTTTTTTTGTTTGTTTGTTTGTTTTTGTTTTTAAGATTTATTTATTTATTTTAAAGAGTTACTCAGAGAGAGAAGGAGGGGCAGAGGGGGAGAGAGAGAGAGAGATCTTCCATCCACTGGTTCACTCCCCAGTTGGCTACAACGGCCAGAGCTGCACCCATCAGAAGCCAGGAGCCAGGAGCTTCTTCAGGGTCTCCCACGTGGGTACAGGGGCCCAAGGACTTGGGCAATCTTCTACTGCTTTCCCAGGCCATAGTAAAGAGCTGGATCGGAAGTGGAGTAGCTGGGACTTGAACCAGCGCCCATAGAGGTTGCCGACACTGTAGGCAGTGGATTTACCTTCTATGCCACAGTGCCGGCCCCACAGATTACTGTTAATCTTTGGTTTCCAATCTCAGAATTATAATCTGTTATTTATCAACTTGATGTAATTAAAGGTTTTTTCTTAAAAATATTTCTAAGTTTAAGAATGTGATTAGCAATTAGACAAAATCTTTGTGGCAGCATTTTTTTAGTTCATTTTAAATGTAACACTCAAAACAAATATACATGTGTTGATTAGTTTTGACTGTATACCTTTGTCATAAAAAATGAACTTGGGTAAGTAAATAAAAACATTTACTGGGTGTGGTCATTTGGCACAGAGCTTAGGATGCCTTTTGGGATGCCTATATCCCTATGAAATACCTGGGTTTGGGCCTCTGTTCATCTTCTGATTCAGCTTCCTGCTAATGCACACTGTGGGAAGCAGCAGGTACTTGGATCCCTCAGGTAACTGGATCCCTGCCACCCATATGGGAGACCCAGATGGAGGTCTGGGCTCTTAGCTTTAACCTGGCCCGGCTCCAGCTAGTGTGGGCATCGGGTGAACCAGCGCGCGCTCGCTCTCTCTCTCTCTCTCTCTCTCTCTTCCTCTGCCTTTCTAATAAATAAAAATAAATGAAAAAAACATTAAAAGTTACTGAGAAGTGCATATTTAACCATGGCATAAGGAGCAAGCTAACTGTAGCTCTTGTAAAAGATTGTTATGGATCACTTAGAGAACAAGGAGAACGGCTGCCTTAGCTCTTGCTGCCAGTACCAGTCCTAATTATAAGGGTGGAGAAAGCTGGCTGTGGAGCGGACAGATCTGGCCCTAGCAGATGATCCAGACTGCCCAGGAGCTCTAGGGGCTGTCCCAGCGAACCCCTGTGTCATTTGGGGTCTTCCTGAACCACACCAGAGGAAGGGGCACATGTCAATCCCAGATTTGCAGATTCTAGAATAAAAATGCCAGTCACCCCCTCCCTATGCCCTCTCAGAAATCCTCAGGAACTTGGAGTTTAAATGAGAATGAGTGCTCCTTTTGTGGTACTGCCTTGAAGATAGAAAAGGAAGACAGCTGGATGCAGAGTGAAGCGTGGTGGAGTGCAAAAGGAAATGTCGGCGCCCTCTGTTTCCTGTGTGCACTGTTCCTCACGGTGCTCACTGTGAGGGAAGGAGTACATACTGGTGGAGAAGACAGAAGTAAGACAAGGCTTTCATCCCGCGCCGCCTTCATTTTCCAGCTGTGTAGATTTGTTATCTCTTCAGAGACTAAGGAAATCCATGGAAATTGGAAGATAAATGCTGAAGGAGTAAAAAGTGTTAGTTTTGCCTTGCTGATCTCTTCCACACTCGGTAGCATTTTATGCTGAGTAGAGAGGGCTTATCTGTGTGTATTTCCCTTACTGTGTTGCAGCGCCTTCGACATCCTCGTAACGTGGAAGAGGAAACCAAATACATTGAGCTCATGATTGTGAATGATCATCTTATGGTAGGATTTGCTGTTTAAAAAAAACTTGTCTGTGCCCACAGTAATATTGGGAGGTTCAGAAATAAGAAGCTAGAAGCCCGTGAGGTTGTAGCTGGGCCTAGTAACCAGCAGCAACCTGCGAGGATGAAGGCGTCTTAGGCGGAAGTAGAGTTCCCTGAGGTATCTCTGTGATTGATGAGGTCAGCTCTGGATTTGCTTGACCAGTGCAGGTGCTAGTATCTGAATGTCCTCATACTGGATGGCAAGATTTAAGGAAAATGTAAACTTATTTTACGTCGAAAGAGTGAGTCACCAGTAATGTGTCTGTTTAGCTTGCAATGTATAGCTTTATCCAAATAAAAGAGCAGTTTTGCCACTTCTCACTTACTGTGGAGAAAAGCGTATGGAAATGCTTATGAGGCCAAGTGGGGGAGAAATTCAGGATAAGAACTTGGCAAAAGCCCCTCTTGTTGAGTTGATTATTTTGACACAGAGGGTAAATATTCACTTTATGGGCAAGCTTCAGTCTGCAGAGTTGTGTTCCTAACACACTGCTGATTGTCCGCTGGAACCAGAAGTTTAAATCCAAAATGTTCATTTGGTGCACATTGCTGCATTTTACTGATTTCAGGCACAAGTGTGTGTTAATTTACTTCAGTTGATTCATTTGAGGAGATGATGTATCATTTTTTTGTATATGATTAATCGAATAATACCGATTGTAACTGCCACTCATAATAATAATAGTGCAAACAGGATTGAGTGCAGCTTCTTTGTGTAGGCTATTTAAATTCATAGAATGTTTCTGTTCTCTGGGATTTTCACAACATAGTAAGTTACAAGAACATATTTTTGATGTTTTCGAATAGTCACAAATTGAGAAGTCTGTAGATACCTGTGACAGGTAACACATAAGTGCAGTGAACCAGATTCAAGGCAGTGGAGCGAGGAGGGTGAGATTTGCGGGGAAAGAGAGGCACGTGGCCTTCTGCAGGGAGCAGCGTCTCACACTTGCTGCTGTTATCTTGTGGGGACGCTGCTTTTCGGTGAAGCCAGGCATCAGGTTTCCCATGACACTGGGTTTCTAAAACACCACTGAGGCCAAACCAGTGGGGCACAAGATCCAACCCCAGCTTATGAGTTGCTCCTTGTGATCCTAGGGGTTCCTTCTTACCGAAAAATGGCCAAGTGCCGTGGACGTGGTGAGTTTTTAGATCTTGCAGTGTTCACACTCACCTTTTCTGACTGTACCCTGATGTAAATTTGTTTGTCTAACAATTTATTGATAAGTTCGTAGATTTTATCCTCTTGAGTAACAGTCCTGATGAAAGCAAATCTGTGGAATGGATGGAATGAGTGTTTTCTTCATCTCACAGATGAGAAACCGAGGCCTGAGGTTTTTAGGAGCTTTGCGTCAGGCTGCGCAGCAGATGAACAGTTAGGTCACCGCCAGTGTGTGTGTGTGTGTGTGTGTAGGTATCTACACCCCTTAGGGATCTTCCCAGCACACCATGTTTTCTCTGCTAGGAAATGTATTTCCTGGCAATTTTGAAAGCCTTCACTTGTTTCCATTTGCTTTCAGTTCAAAAGACACCGGCTGTCTGTGGTACACACCAATACCTATGCAAAATCTGTGGTGAACATGGCAGACTTAGTAAGTATCCCCCGGTGAGTGTGCACTGGAGCTAATAGGATGGGGAGAACAGTGCTTCCAGTTCCCCTGCCCTGAACTGCAGTTTAACCGGGGTGTCTTGAAGGTCCCAGGGGAACCTTGCATTGCACATCATTGCCTTTGACCTCTGGCTGGGAAGATGATGACAGGAAGAGATCAGTTCCTGCCGAGGTAGCTGGAACTCCTCCCTGTGGAAGACAAAGGTTGAGCCATAGCCTCTAACGAAGGCGATCCCCGGGTACCTCTGGTGAATGGGAACCAGTGTACCCACTGTGCCCTGTGCAAGAGTGCCTGGTGCCCAGGTGATGATGCAGTGAGCTCCACTGTACCTGTCTTCCACAGGGACCCTTGACAAAGCGCTGCCGTGCCTTCTCCTCGAGTTTAATCAGAGGCCGGTCGGCGTGTGTGTATTTGCCTGGAGAGTCTTCATTATTCATTTTTTGATAGGGGAAGCCAAGAATGCAGGAGTTCTTAATCCAGAATGCCAGAAAATCCACTCGGAGTGAGCCCTGAGGAGGGTGCAAGTGTTTGTCCAAAAGGGATTTTTTTGTTTCTGATAAGTGCTCTGTTCTTTGGGGATGGCTACTTGGTAAATGTTTTGATGCTCTGTTTTTACTCTAGGCAAATGCATGTAAGTTAGAGAAATAACTATTTCCCTTAAAAACAGTAACATTTCCCATGTGTAACTATAACTCAGGGTGTTTCCATGAAAGGAACTTTGGAGTCCTGCTCATAAACAATTTGATTTTGCCACATGTACAGCTGGTGTGTTCCTTTTGTTAATATACTAGATATATAAAGACCAACTTAAGACAAGGATAGTATTGGTTGCCATGGAAACCTGGGCGGCTGACAACAAATTCGCCATATCTGAAAATCCATTGATCACCCTACGTGAGTTTATGAAATACAGGAGGGATTTTATCAAGGAGAAAAGTGACGCAGTGCACCTTTTTTCGTACGTAACTTTCGTGATGATGTGTTCCTTTTTTTTTTTTTTTTTTGGTTCTGTGTTGAATGCTCTGTTACTTGTACCTGAGATGTATCCTGCCTATTGCATAACACAGTTAGATTTGACGTGGAAGATAACATTTAAAAGGGGTGGTAATGTATAGATAGTTTGAAATTTTCATCAAATTTTAAGAGATTTAATTTTGCATTATTATTGCAACTCTGTTGTGTTTAATTTTTCAAGAGACTTAACCAGAGCATTTGTGGATTAAAAATATTATTCAGACTCATGACAGACAAGTTCCTTAAAGTTTCTGTCTTTTGAATGTTAACACTTTATTTTAAATCTAAGGTGAGAACTTAGTGTTTCTGGAGTTTATCTTTTTATTTTTTTTCATTGTTATTTTCTTTTTTGGGAAGTAACATACATATTTGATGTAATAGCAAATTTTATATATTAGTGATCAAAAACCTGTTATCTAAAGTCAGAGCTGTTGAAGAAAGTTATGTTGACGTGAAAGATGTAATATTTTGTAACTTGCCATTTTAATATAATATCAAATATAGAGAAAAGTCACACGAATGCTACAAGGAAATTATGTATATTCTTAATCCCAAATCATTAATTATTTACATTTCCCCCATGTGTTTTGAGATTTCTTTCTTCCCTGTCTTCCTTCCATCATCTGTTCATCCACCTATCAATTCTTTTTTCTGAATATTTTGAGAGTTTAGTTGGAGATGCTTACCACATGTTTACTACTAAATACTTCAGTATGTATTTTCTAGAAATAAAGATGTTCTCTTCCATAACCACAGTAAGTTACTAAAGCCAGAAAGTTTCACACTGACATAGACCTTCTCTACAGTCTGTAGTCTGTCTTTGTATTTCTCCAATTGTCTCTTTGTCTCTTGTAGCTGATTTTTACCCCAGCCTGGACCCAGTGCAGCATCATTGCATTTAGTCCTGTGTCTCATTATTCTCCGGGCAGCCTCAGCTTTTGAAGCACCTAGGCCAATTACTTTATGGACTGATCCCCACTGTAGGGACATCAGCTGTTTCCTCACTGTGAGATAAAGATTGTATGTGTTTAGCAGAAATACCACAGAAGTGATTTTGTTTCCTTCCTCAGAGTACATTCTATCAGTGACTCCTGTTTAATAGGTGTATGACAAGTTGAGATATTTATTGATTGTAAGGGAAGCATTCCTCAGAAAACTTCTTCCTGGATTATATAAGTAAACTCTTTGTATATTCTTCTCTTACATCAGAAATTTATAGAGACAGCATAGAATTTTACACACATTGAGAAAAGAAATGTAGTCGATTGATGACAAAACGTGCTATGGTGTTCGAACTGTCAGCAGTAAGTGTTTTTCATTTCCTTTTCTAAAGGGGAAGTCAATTTGAAAGTAGCCGGAGCGGGGCGGCTTACATTGGTGGGATTTGCTCGCTGCTGAAAGGAGGCGGCGTGAATGAAGTAGGTGTGAGCATGTGTAAGATACGAGTGCTGGGATGGCTGCAGACACTTCTCTGGTGGCCCAGGCATGGTCTCGCAGGGTCGCCCCTACTCCGGATGCTAGGTTCTGTGATTCTCCGTCAATGTGGCCACTACCAATGGCTCTGTGTTTCACTTAGAATAATTTCCATATTAAGCTGGAAGTATTTTTCAGATTATATAGAGAGGATCTTTACCTTTACCCGTGTTCAAAAATAAGTCCCCATCTGTCACTCTGAATGAACATCTGGAGAAATGAGGGGTTCCCTAAGCACTGGGTTGCCACATAACAACCCAGTTGGATGTTTTCTTCTCTGCTCAGTATTTGACAGTACTGACAATTACTGGGGAAAAACTGGGGGGAGGTTTTCCAAAAGACTCCTTTTACATCTGAGGTACTAAACTGGATGGAAGTGACCTAACGTATCTTTGGGAGGCTACGTTTTAGAAAAATATCCTGAGATCTTCCATTTCTGTTGGCTGGGGATCACCATGGCTCCCTGTCACTCATCCTGTTTGTTCTCTGAAGCCACCTTGCGCACCAGGCTGGGGCGGGAGGTGGATCTCAGGAGTGCAAGGGGATACATAACCATGAACACATTCCAAATAATTTTTGCACACTTATTTTTATTTTGTTTGAAAGGCTGGTTTAATCATAGACAACATTAGGTTTCTCAGATATATTGCTAGGAAAATTTGGACTCAGAATTAGTTTTAAGTTTCCAAACTTGAAAGTTGCCCATTCCCTGGTTTCTAATCTTCCCTAGAAGGCCTAATCAAATGTGGATTTTTTTCTTTCCTTACTTCTTCCCAAATGCATGTTCAGCAGTAGCTACCAATGTGTTTAACCTCTGCTAAAGAAAATGCCTATAAGTTACTTATTGTTAATTGTATTGTGACATTGTTCTTTTGTCCATCTTAAATGAAAAGCAATTTGCATTTATATGTTTCATTTTGCTTGTCTTTCAGTATGGGAAAACTGACCTAATGGCGGTTACACTTGCTCAGTCATTAGCCCATAATATTGGTATTATCTCAGACAAAAGAAAATTAGCAAGTGGTAAGTTTTAGTACATGTATAGTTTAGTTGTATTTGAAATAAACCCTATGTAAAATATTTTAGAGAATGAGGTTCTTTGATTCAGTTGCTAGATTAAAAGAATTTTCATGATAGTGTGAAACAAACAGCATAAAATTGGTTTTTAAAACTAGCACAAAGGGATAGTTACATTATAGATGTGTAAGAAAAATTACAGAGCCATGTGATAATAAATTCTTAGTAATTCTTAGCTGAACCCAACCTGCAAAAGGCAAAATAAGTAAATTTTGGTCATGTAAGGTGCCCTGGATGCAAGCATACTGTTTTATTGTGGTTTATTCATAATTCCTTTAAGCATGGCAGCATGGCCACGGAGTAGAATGGGCCCCGGAGTAAAGGCCAGGTTTACCATTATGAGGATCGTCTTCTCCCCATCAGTAAAGTTACTTCACATGAGTATTCATGTGTTCTGTATACAGAGGAGTACTTTGATGACAACCACGTTGATTTTAGTAACAGCAATCATTTGTATCATTGTTCACCTTAAGGGTTACTACTTATAGAGCACCCGTTATCTGCCACAAGGTATGATGACATTCCCTAGATCTGGAAACTCATTTCCCCACCAAGAGTGCCCATTTTTAGCCCCATCTGACAGAGAAGTGAGTAATCTCAAAAAGGCAACATCTCCCAGATACCCAGGTACTAGGTGACAAACCCGGGTGTTGAACCCAGGTATCCCTGGTTCTGAAGCCCTCTGCCTAACCTGTGTACTCTCCTGCCTCCGACCAGGAGCCCTCCTGACAAGCTTTGCCAATGAGTAAGAAACTAATAATTCCCAGAAGGGCCTAGGAAACTGGACCCTGTAGCATCACCATAAGTTCTTATTTCATTGTAATTGGTCATCCTTCATTTAAACTGTTGTAAGCGAATGGTTTAAAAATGAGGCCGTTTGTTGAAAATATCAGAAGATTTTGGTATTATAATAAAATTATGTCATTTTGATAGATCAAAGTATATATTTGTTGCTATATGTTGCATAAAGAACTTGAAATGTAAGGAGAACATTTTAAAAGATATTTAAGAAATAAAATGAAGAGATTGTTTTGATGCAGTTGTGTTCAGTGTATGAAAAGGCGTGTGTATCCTTTGTTCTCCTAGGTGAGTGTAAGTGTGAGGACACGTGGTTGGGATGCATCATGGGCGACACTGGGTGAGCCACTTCTATGTGAAAGTCACTCCCTCTTCCTTTCCCTGTGCCCTTGTCTTTTTAGGAAACTGACACTCAGCAACTGAGTGCCTGTTGGAAGTCAATATTCTATTTGTTTTAAATTAAGTTTATTTTATTTATTTATTTATTTATTTTTGACAGGCAGAGTGGACAGTGAGAGAGAGAGACAGAGAGAAAGGTCTTCCTTTGCCGTTGGTTCACCCTCCAATGGCCGCCGCGGCCGGCGCGCTGCGGCCGGCGCACCGCTCTGATCCGATGGCAGGAGCCAGGAGCCAGGTGCTTCTCCTGGTCTCCCATGGGGTGCAGGGCCCAAGCACCTGGGCCATCCTCCACTGTACTCCCTGGCCACAGCAGAGGGCTGGCCTGGAAGAGGGGCAACCGGGACAGAATCCGGCGCCCCGACCGGGACTAGAACCCAGTGTGCCGGTGCCGCTAGGCGGAGGATTAGCCTAGTGAGCCGCGGCGCCGGCCAATTAAGTTTATTTTCATTTTATTTGAAGAGCAGAGCGACAGAGACAGATAGATCTCTTGTCTACTGGTTCACTCCCCAGATACCTACAACAGCTGGGTCTGGGCCAGGCCAAAGCCAGAGTGCAGAACTAAGTCCAGGTCTTCCATGTGGGTGTCAGGGACTCAAGCACTCCAGCCATCCCCTGCTGCTTCCCAGAGTTCACGTTAGCACATAAGTGGATCTGAAGTGAAACAGCTGGGACTTGAACCCAGGCACTCTGATGTGGGTGCCCAGGCGGCATCCTAACTCCAGTACCAAATGCACACACTGGCCTTGCTGTTGGTCATCAGCATTAGGTTTGTGCTGTTTATCCATATTGGGAATATTTAGCTCTTCTTCATTGAATATCATTCCACAAGAAGTGGTCATCAAAGAAGGTGGTACTTTTCTCTGAAGGGAGGAGAGAACTTCCACCTTGCTTATGGCCTTGTCTAAACACTAACGGAGTTCTTTGTGGATTCAAAAGTCTTCCATAACCTAGGCAGCTCATGTCAAGAGCCTCGGGTGATCACTGATGTCATACCTAAGAGTGTTAATTGTTGAATTAACAACAGGAGTCGCTGTGCACTAACTTCCGGTGCAGGACCTCTGTCTTCAAAGAGTTGTATTATAATTATGTCTAAGTGCTCGCAAAAGATGTATCATTCTTGGGTGCTTCTTTAAAGTTAATTAAGTTTCAGCCAGCGCCACGGGTCACTAGGTTAATCCTCTGCCTGCGGTGCCAGCACTGCAGGTTCTAGTCCCGATTGGGGTGCCGGATTCTGTCCGGGTTGCTCCTTTTCCACTCCAGCTCTCTGCTGTGGCCCGGGAAGGCAGTGGAGGATGGCCCAGGTGCTTGGGCCCTGCACCCGTGTGGGAGACCAGGAGGAAGCACCTGGCTTCTGACTTTGGATTGGTGCAGCGCCGGCCGTAGCGCCATTTGGGGGGTGAACCAATGGAAGGAAGACCTTTCTCTGTGTGTCTCTCTCTCACTGTCTAACTCTGCCTGTCCCAAAAATAAATTAATTAATTAATTAAAAAAATAAAGTTAATTAAGTTTCTGAAAAAAAAAAAAAAGAAGTGAAATAAACTTCACGATGGAATGACTTTGAACAGCCCTTGTCTCGACTGTTGAGGAATAGTTTTTTGGTTTTGTTATTTTCCTGCACATTGTTAAACTCTTTACTTAATATAGAGTTGGTCTTCTTTCTATAAAGTTAATCGAAAATGGATCTTAATGGAGAATGGGACTGGGAATGGGAGAGGAAGGAGAAGGAGGGGTGGGAGGCAGGTATGGTGGGAAGAATCACTGTTCCTAAAGTTGTACTTATGAAATGCATGACGTTTGTATTTCTTAAAAGGTTTCTTTGGGGGAAAAAATGTCATTCCACACAGAACTCTTTTTTTTTTACATTTTATTTCAGAATAGCTTTAAATTTCCAAAATAAAAATTGTGAGGTAGTAATACAAAAATTTCCCATATAGCCCTCGCCCGTCTCCTCTATTAACATCTCATATTGGTATCTTTGTCACTATTAGTGAACCACACCCAGCTCCCTGTTTTGTTTTGTTTTTATCCAAACTCCTTTTATCCGCCCACCCCCACCCCCCCAGCCTCCCTGATGATCCTGCAGTGTTCCGATTGAGGTTGGGTTTTGTTTTCCTTTGTGCTCCCACATACACAGAGCACATTCAGCATTTGTCTATGTGTCTGGCTTGTTCCACTCAATGGGATGCACTCCAGCTCCCTCCGTCTTGCTGCGAATAACAGCATTTCATTCTTTTTCATCTGCTGAGAACTTTTGTGAGTCTCTGTTGTCTCAAGAATAAGTTTCAGGTGCCCCATGGCAGTACTTACATGTGTGTAATATTTCCTCATCTGGATTTACGGTCTCCTTGTCCCCTACTGTTTGTGATGAGATTTCTTACCCTAATTGTGCATGAGTTCCCGGTTTCGTTTACTGGCTAATCAAAATCCTATATGGATTTTCTGCTTCTTAAAACTTACTTGTCATGATTTCACATGAATTTCCAGCTTTGTTTATTTCTTCACTATATTCTCTTTGCATGGAATGCCTTTCCTTTCTTCCTTCTAAGCATATTTCTAGCCATCTGAGGTTTATTAAAAATTTTAACCCCTGCATATACTTTTGCTTCCTCTAACCAATTTGTTATAAATTTTTGAGGGATTACATTTTTTAAAAGCTTTTATTAATTAATTAATTAATTTATATATTTATTCGAGAGACAGAGTTACAGACAGAGGGAGAGACACAGAGAGAAGTCTTCCATCTGCTGGTTCATTCCCAATTGGCTGCAATGGCCAGAACTTGGCTGATCCAGAGCCAGGAGCCAGGAGCTTCTTCCAGGTCTCCCACATGGGTGCAGGGGCCCAAGCACCTGGGCCACTTTCCACTGCCTCCCCAGGTCACAAGCAGAGAGCTGGATCAGAAGAGGAGCAGCCAGGACAGAAACTGCCACCCATGTGGAATGCTGGCACTATAGCCGGAGGCTTAACCCACTACGCCACGGTGCTGGTCTTGAGGGACTACGTTTTACATTGATTTATATTTCATTCCTCATACTATAACCCTACATATAGACTGGGCTTTCAACAAATATTTATTGATTGCATTTGAATTTTGAATTCTCAGAATATCCTATAAGGAAAATAAATGTTGGAGGGAATGTATATGCAAATATATATATTAAAAATTTTTCAAAATATCTTTCATTAGTAATGATAAGAAATTATAAATACAGTACAACCCATAAAATCATCTAATTCTTAGTCCTCCTTCAAGTTGGCCTTGTATTTCATGTCATTTATGACACGCGTTTCATGTATCAGGTGTCATTTTTAGTTTTTCTCTTTAGCTTTTTTTAGTCTGAAAGACCTCCTCAGTCTGTCTGTGTCTTTCATTCTTTCATGATGTGACACATTTATTGATTATAGGTCAGTTATTTTGTAGCATGCTCAGAAGTTTGGATTATACCCCAGTTTTAATGTTTAAGAAAAATTCCTTATAGCATAAGTTTTTTCTAATTCTCCTTGATTTTAAATTACTGGTCCCAGGGGCCGGTGCCATGGCTCACTTGGTTAATCCTCCACCTGTGGCACCAGCATCCCATATGGGCACCAGTTGCTCCTCTTCCAGTCCAGCTCTCTGCTGTGGCCTGGGAAGGCAGTGGAGGATGGCCCAGGTGCTTGGGCTCCTGTACCTGCACGGGAGACCAGGAAGAAGTACCTGGCTCCTGGCTTCGGATCGGCACAGCTCCGTCCGTAGCGGCCATTTAGGAGTGAACCAACAGAGGGAAGACCTTTCTCTCTGTCTCTCTCTCTCACTGTCTATAACTCTACCTGTCAAATTAAAAAAAAAATTACTGGTCTTGTATGTTTGTGTTTCTGTTGAATGAATATGCAAATAACAAACAACCTGTAATCACCAAAGGAAGAATTCAGAAATTCCTTTGAAAGAAAACTCTGGCTGATTGAATATAAATTTTGTACATAAGTGGAATTTATTTTATATGATAATGTACAATATTTACAGAATTCCATTTAAGACTAGCAAGGGAGGGCAGAGCTGTGCTTATGTATATTGATTTTCTTCTTTCTTATAGCTATTATCTTCCTAAAAAGTTCACCCAGTGTAACATCGAAGAGTATCATGATTTCCTAAATAGTGGAGGCGGTGCCTGCCTTTTCAACAAGCCTTCTAAGGTAATAAGTGTGATCAAGTTATTAATTATTAATTTTTTAAACAAAAATTTTCAGCCATTATAAAAATAGCTTCAATATAGACTTTATGTAATATTTTAGATATGCCAAATATCTGCCCTTCAAAGTCAGCTTTAATACTGGACGTTCTGGGCTATTCTGATAGGACTAGAAAGTAGGCAGAAATGAGTGCTGGCTTCCTGAAACTTGCCATTTTCTTTGTTTATGGCCAAGTGAGGATTCAGAGTTGGCTCCGTGCTGCCTTCCGTTCCACCGCATTGCTGCTTGCTTCCCCTGCGGATACCTAAGCGCGGCTCACAGTGGTGGCAAGAGGGACAACCCTCACCTGGTCGCTGCCTTGTGCTGCCTTCCGGATTGAGCGGTGTGATTCAGGCAGCTTCCCTACCTGAAACCAGGCCGCCCTGAAGCAGAAAGGGAGGGCGTCTTTCTGTACTTGGACTTGCTCACGAGCTTTTGCAGCTTGCACTGCGTCTGGTTACTGACTAAGAAGCAGTTCTTCCTCTTGTGTTTGGCGTCTTATTGGACAAGAGTGCTGTAGCCTAGCTGAGTGTGTGAGCTCTTCCATGCGACAGGTGCAGATGCGACCTTGCGCTTGTTGTCCTTCCCCTGGGTGCATCCTCTGCTCAGCACAGTGAAGTTGTGAGAGGAGTCGGAATGCATCGAGGAGCAAATTCATCGTTAAGACTCTGTCCAGAGCTCTGGGAGGAGTGTAGGAACTAAATCACTGCTGCCCTAAGTGTAACATGGTCTACGTCTGTTTACCTGAGTGACTGATTATTCTAAACCCAGAGCGTGAATATTGGTGTTTTTCATCTGAAAAATTTCCACTTTGATTTTTCAATTGTTATGATCACTTTAACTGATACTAAAGTAAAGGGATGAGTTGATTCTTTTGTAGGTAGGGAGAGAATGAAATCAGGTGGGGTTCTCCTTGTTTTGTTTTGGGCTTTCCTTTAGTTAGTTATGCAAATACATGTGGGTGTGGATGTGTTTGTAAGTGTCTGTACACTTTGAGGCTTTAGTTTAGACACTGATTAACTTCTGAATGAGTATTAGATATGTACCATATAGCATTAATTTACTAATTACTAATTTTTGTGTATCACCATAGGATAAATTGTACTCAGCAGATAATAATATTGATAGACAGTTAAAACAAAAAAAGAGTTAAAATACACTCTTGGATAAGTCAAGAGATTGCTTTAGTCTCCAGGACAAATTATTGTTATTCCCTGCAAAGCTACGTTAGCAGGAAGAGGTAAATTTTCTAGTCAGTAGTTTACTAGGTACATTAATGTTTATGATATTTTCTTCATTGTTTATCAAATAACTTTCTGTTTTAGAAAGCAATGTTATTAAGAAAGTTATTTTCATAGGTGGATAAATTTGGTCCTCACCACAGTTTTGTAATGTAGATGGACAGCTACCCAAGATAGCAGTTGAGCCAAAATTTTAATTCAGACATTCTGACATAAATTCCTTGCTACCTAATTAAATTTTGGGAGTCAGTATGGTTTGATTTTAGTCTATGGCTAGGTTGTCTTTTATTTTTGTTCCATTTAACTTGATCCTACTTGATCTGTATAAGGGTACTTCAGAAAGTTTAAGGGAAATGAAACTAACAGATAAGGTCAATAAAATTTGTGCAATATAATTTGAAATCCATGCTTCTTCATAATATGTGTTTTCATGAACTTTTTGACATACTGTTTTATGCATGGATTCTAAAAATTTTTGTACCAATATAAACTTAGCTTTTACTTCTGTTTTTCTATGTACCTGTTGAAATAGCATCATATGCAAACATGCATGTAAAAACATATGCATGCATTAAATATAAAATGTTCCAAGAACCAAAGCCATGTTTTCTAGTGTAGGAAAATAAACAAAAAACCCTAAAACATATTTTGGCATGACTGGCAACTCTGCCAGATGTGTAGGTGTAGCAATTATGATCTGTCAGAGTCTCCTGTGTTGATTTTTCAGTATTTTAGTTCCCTTTTTGGTTTTCCTCCCACAGCTTCTTGATCCTCCAGAGTGCGGTAATGGCTTCATCGAAACTGGAGAGGAGTGTGACTGTGGGACCCCTGCAGTAAGTTTCTGGTTATCCTGATGATGTTTTTAAATAATTCAGTCATTCCACGTCCAGGCACTGAGATATACAGACCCAATGTCTTACTTCGAAGTATTATTTTTTTTTAAAGATTTATTTATAAACTTGAAAACGAGAGAGAGAGAGAGAGAAATCTTCCAATCTTCCTTCCTCTGGTTTACTTCCCAGATGACCACAATGGCCAGCACTGAGCTAGGCTGAAGCCAGGAGCCAAGAACTTCATCTGAATCTCCCACACTGGTTGCAGGGCCCCAAACACTTGGGCCATCTGCTGCTTTCCCAGGTCATAGACAGGGAGCTGGATGGGAAGTAGCGTAGCCGGGACATGAAGTAGCACCATACAGGATGCTGGCCTTGCAGGTGGTGGCTTTACCTGCTGTGGCACAACACTGGCCCATCACTCGGAAGTTGTATAGGGATTGTGGAAGGAAGATATTGTTTGTACATTTATTTTATAAAATATCCTGGCACTTTACGGAAGAAATGGCATTTTCTCATGAGTTGCACATGTTTCTGTTCCTTAGGAGTGTGTCCTTGAAGGGGCTGAGTGCTGCAAGAAATGCACCTTGACCCAGGACTCTCAGTGCAGTGATGGTCTCTGCTGTAAAAAGTGCAAGGTAGGTGCATGGTTGTTACTGCCACCTGACGGGAAAGGAGCATGTTTGCTGTAATTGTTAACGCCAGGTAGACGAATCTGACGACAGTAAAGGCATCCAACATGTTTTAAAGGACCACGTGCTTTGTGCTGAACAGGATCTTCACGAGTTACCAGGACAGTAATTATCCCCATCTAACTTTTGAGAACACTGAGGCTTGTAGTTGTTCATTAGTTTGGCCAAAATCTTGTACCAAGTAATTCCGGAATCCAGGGGTCGGAACCTATTAATTCTGAGAGACCCGAGGAGCAGGCATGAGAAACAAAACCAGATGTCTCTGGGCTTCAAATGGTTTTACCCCACCTTGCAAAACCAAGTAGTTATTCAATAGTTTCTTCTTCTCCTGTGGCTCGGCTTGGTGTAGTTCTTGCATCATCTGTCGTGGGATATAAAGGAACACTTTGGGACATGATGTAGCTTACAGTGTGGCACATGGAAACTTAGAACGCATCTTTGCACACTTACCTGTTTTCATCTTCCACCAGCATCCTCATACCTGTCTCCAAATACTTAAGCCTTTATATCAAGACTAATAGTTGTTTGGGGCTTCCATTTACAAAAAAATCTAATTCTTTTTTTGTTGTTTTAAGAATTACTTGTTTGAGTGGTAGAGTTACAGACAGAGAGAGGGAGAGACGGAAAGGTCTTCTATCTGCTGGCTCACTCCCCAGATGGCCACAACACCAGAGCTGAGCTGATCCGAAGCCAGGAGCTGGGAGCTTCTTCTGGGTCTCCCACACGGCTGCAGAAGCCCAGGCACTTGAAGTCATCTTCTAATGCTTTCCCAGGCCACAGCAGAGAGCTGGATCAGAAGAGGAGCAGCTGGGACATGGACTGGTGCCTTATGGGATTCTGGTGCTATAGGTGGAGGCTTAGCCCACTGTGGCACAGCACTGGCCCAAAATCTAATTTTCTTTTTTTCTCTTCTCTTGTAAGATCTGGTTTAATAGCCTACATTATTTCTGAATTTTCATATCTGTCTCTGCCTTCAGTCTGTGCATTGAAGGGAGCAGAGCCAGGCATCTGCACGGTAATTGGTACAGGGTCTCGGTAAATGTTTGTCGAGTGAATGAAAGCATGTGCACAGCGCTCTCTTGATGATTGCTTGCTGATTGAGTGACTGTAGTGTGTGGGTTATGGAGGCAGGACCAGACCTATCACCTAAGTGTCTACCGTGTGCCAGAGATTGTGCTCAGCACTTCTGATGTGTACCGTCCTATGTCTGCACGTCTCAACCTGTTGGCAGTTTTGGGTGAATCTCTCTTTGCCGTAGGGTTGTGCCTCGTGCATTGTAGGATTTTTAGCTGCTGGCAGCACCCTTTCTAATGGTGACAAAGAAAAACATCCCTAGACAGTGCCAAATGTTTCTCCGGAGGCCACATCACCCTGATTGAGACGCTGTCCTGGATAACAGGCGCCCTCTTGGGATAGGCTTTATCTCCTGCTTGTCACGGCTGAGCGATCCTAGTCTCAGGAAGTTAGACTCCCTGCACAGGCCGGCGCAGCTGGCAATGCGAGTGTGACTGCATCCCGGATGGGCTGGCAGCCGTCTCTGTTGTTTCCCCTCTACCGCTGTGTCTTCTGGCAGCTTTTAAAGACAGGCAAGGCGCTGGCAGAGGTCTCTGGAAGCGCTCTCTAAAAAAGGAAGATTAAGCCAAATGTGAAACACTCTTGCATCTTGGCTACCTCCACTGTTTATTCTGTGAGCTTCTCCAAATGCCATAACAAGGGATCCCACGTCATTTGTCTTAATCCTTGGCATTTTAAGAATGCTGTTAATGGCACCTTCCTTTCCCTTGATTTCTAGAATTAGGCTCTTTGTGCTGTAATCATTTCAAGGAACAAATACAACATATCCCAGTTAAAAGATGTATGGTAAAATGGCATGATTAGCTACTATCCTACAAAGTGAGTTAACAGCTGTGCTAGTCGAGTAAGGTCTTTCTTTTGCCACCTTCTCCACCCCGTTTCCTTACTCTCCTCCATCTGCACCACTAGGGGAGCCAAAAGCAGATAGTGAATGGAGAAGGGAGAGTAGAAAAACAGGTGGGAAATTGCACAGATCTCTGTTTCTTCTGTGTGGATTTATAATAATGTATCTGTAAGTCAGGCGTTGGTGGGCTTGGTCTGCAGTGCTAGGTAGTGAATAGTTTAGGCTTTGTGCAGCTTCAGGTCTCTACCACAGTACTCACCTCTGTCTTTGAAAACAGCCATCAAAAATACAGAAACAGGTGGGCACGACTGTGTTCCAGTGCAGCTTTATTGTAAAGGTAGTCAGGCAGCCACATTTGGCCGTGAGGCCGTAGTTCTAGAGCCCTTCTGTAAAATATTGTGTGTTTACTTGTTTGTAGCTCTTCTCCTTGCATTGCAGTGGTAGGGATTTTGGTTGATTTATTTGCTGTCGTATCCAGCTCTTGGAGCAGGTTCTCCCTCACTCAACTTCCTTTCTGAAGTTTCCTGGAAATTGCTGAACATTTATACTCTCACCTGAACTCTCCATCAGATCTGCTCCTAGGAGGATTATTTTCACCTTAGATATTCCACAGTCGTGGCTTGCCCAAATCCTAAATGATCTTGCTTATTTCTTTATTTGTATGGTCCATTTATGCCCATTAAAATGGAAGTCCCTTGTGAGCAAGGTTCTTGTGTTTTCTTCTACATTGAATCTGCAATGGCTAGAATGGTGCCTGGCATGTCCTAAGATATTCGTAAATACTTGATGAATGAACCCAAATTTTATTCTAAGGTCCTTAAAAATATCTGCTGACATCCTGATTGGAGTTGGGTAAGAGCTGCCCATGTCCCAGGAACAATGGGAGACTTGAGTGCCTGGAGAGCTCCCAGCAGGGAGAGAAGATGAGCTTGATACAGAAGCAGGTGGAGCAGAGACAGAAGCATAGGGCAGCCTCTGCCGCCAGGGTTTGCAGAGGGAGAAGGAAGGGTGCTGAAGAGGGCTGAGGAGGTGTCCCATTATCTTTGTTCTAAGCACTCTGGTGATTTATAAATGAGTATAAACCTTTGGGCAACTCCCACACTTACATGATGGATTTGAGGTGGTTGAAAATAGAAATCAAACACAAAAAAATCGGATCAGCGCGGTGCGCCGGCCGCAGCGCACCAGCCACGGTGGCCATTGGAGGGTGAACCAACGGCAAAGGAAGACCTTTCTCTCTGTCTCTCTCTCTCACTGTCCACTCTGCCTGTCAAAAAAAGAAAATAATAATAAAAAAAATTCAATACACAGACTCAAATAATGGAAAAATTATAAAAAAGAAGAAAAGACCAAGATTTAACCTAGGTAACAATGAGGCAGGCTGCAAGAAGGGAGGGGAGAGCATGTGGCATAGGGGAAGGGGAGAGGATGGCTTCGAAAATCTGACTTTGGTGATTTAGCCCAAACCGGAACCTTCAAATTCTTGGCAGATTGGAGGAAAGAAAGAAAGAGAGGGAGAGAAGGAAGGCAAAGAAAGGAAGGAAGGAAGGGAAAGAAAGGAGGGAGGGAGGGAGGGAAGGAGGGAAAGAAAGGAAGGGGGGAAGGAGGGAGAGAGGGAGGGAAGGAGGGAGGGAGGGAAAGAAGGAAGGAAGGGGGAAGGAGGGAGGGAGGGAGGAAGATAGGAAGATAGGAAGGAAGATAGGAAGATGCAAGAGGCAGCAGGAGTGAAAGGGGTGGGGAAAGCGCCAGAGCCGGCGGGCGGAAGACAGCAGAGCCTGGAGCTCGCTCCCGCTCCCCTGCCCGTGGAGACGTCTTCAGGCTCCGTCCTGCTCAGCGGCCTTGTGTGGCTTCTGCAGAAGCCTTGGCCGTGGAAGCCACACGGAGAAAGTGTCTCCTAAAGCAGCATTTCGTTCAGGGACTGTGGCTTCCAAAGGTTGTGGCTTCCTAGAATGGTTTGAGCTATCCCGATCCACACAGCTCTCATCTCTCACGGCAATAATATGAGTGGTTTTTCCCCTCTACAGTTCTGCGTGTTGATTTCTGGTCCTTTTAGTTTCAGCCCATGGGGACTGTATGCCGAGAAGCCGTGAACGACTGCGATATCCGTGAAACGTGCTCGGGAAATTCAAGCCAGGTAATTTGCAGACTGATTCCTTGCAACCCTGTGGGGAAGAGGAGGAGTATTTTTAGAGCACCGACTCCCAAGAGAAATGTGAACGTGCAAGGTGCTGCCTCTCTTTCACGTCACCTCTCCTTCTCCTTTTATTCTTCAGGAAGTTAAATTTCAGTAATTGAAGCTGCAGCAGCTGCTCAGCATAATTTTGCCTTAATATTGAGCTAACCTAAGACTGCATGAATGCCTTGACTATTTTGTTTTTAAGTAGGGAGTAAAAGGCATTTTCTTCTTATCTACTTAGCGAAGGCAGAAATGAAGACTGCTTGTACTTCAGCTGCTTGCAACAGGAATTACCCCAGGCAGAGAAACCACAGAGACAGGATTCCAAGGGGAACCTGTTCCTCTTTTTTGACTCTTATTTATCTGAGCTGACTTGTGTTAACCCAGCCATTGATAGCATTCAGTTATAGATAGATAAGTCAGGGAAATTGGATCATAGATTTCAAAATGGTTGGTTCAGTTCTGGGTTTGCATGCTATTCCTGGACCCTAAAACTGATCATGGAAGCTGAGACCATGCAAGGTGGTTTTAATCATCATTGGAGGGCCAGATGTTTGTGCAGTGGCTTTAGTAGCTTGTTGGGACTGAAGTGGGGCTTAATTTTTATTCCAGGTCCTTGACAGGCATAAAAAGATGAGTTCTTAATGCTGGCATATAGAAAATAAATTTTGTTCAGAAGGTGTGAAACTGAGCACACGTGTGAGGAGTGGAGTGGGCTGTAAGGAGAAGAGGGGTGGGAGAGGGGAAATGGAGGAGAGAGGGCACCTTCACCTCCCGGGCCCTCCCAGTTTATGAAGTTGGAAGGGGAGTGGCTATTCACATGGCACCTCCTCAGCCCCAAGTGAGAGAGATACATCCTGGGAATGGGTTTGATTGTAAAGTCGGCAGGTACTATGCATGGAGCGGAGCTTTGGGCTTGCAGGTGCCTCAGGCTCTGTGGTCCTAAACCAGCTGTCCCATATCAAGACTCCTACACCCCTTATCAGAGTGCCTGAGTTGAGTCTGGGCTACTGCAGTGTAGCTTCCTGCTAATGTGCACACTGGGAGGCAGCCCTCTGAAGGTGGCTCCAGTGCTCAAGCCCCTGCCACACACAGGGGAGACCCAGCTGGAGATCTGGGCTCCTACCTTTGGCCTGGCTCAGCCCCAGCTATTGTGGGAATCGGGGGGTTGTGAAGCAGAGGATGGAAGGTCTCTTTGCCTGTCAAAAGACATGAAAATAAATAAATAGAAAAATTTATAAAAATCAATGGAACATGCTACAGTTGTTCTTTGATCTTTAAAAAATTCCTTCAAACTATTAAAAACTATCTTATTATTGGTTTTAAATGCATTTGCAAATGAAAAAATAAGCTCATTTATTTGGCACACTATAAATTAAAATAGAAATTATTGAGAATTAAAACATGTCTTTATAAAAATCTTATCAGGAGTAGGTTGAACTGTGCTTGCCTTCTTGTCATAACCTTTTGATACTGAACTAGCATTGTTTCTATACCTTGTCAAACTGTCAAATTCCTTTTCAAAATTGTATCAGCTTTTAGCGTTTTATCCTTTCAATGCTGTGAAACACCTCTGAGAGATGTGAACAGATGAAAGTCAAGTTTCTAGCTGGTATTGCTTCTTCTGGTACAGCACTTGTTATGTCAGGTGCACTTCATTCATTTATACCAGTAAATTCTTCTCTGTGTTCCTCTGGCTGCATGTCTGGAGTCTCTTGTTATATAATATCAGTGGTCCCAGTTAGCTGGTTTGTTTGCATGTAGGTTCAATTTGAATTTTACTCTGGTCTCATCACTTTGCATTTTTTGTTTGTTTTTATCTGAAAATCAGAGTTAGAGACAGGGAGGGAGACAGAGAGGGAGAGAGGGAGAGGGAGAGAGGGAGAGAGGGGGAGAGGGAGAGAGGGAGAGGGAGAGAGGGAGAGAGAGAGAAAGAGAGGGAGAGAGAAAGAGAGAGAAAAGAGAGAGAGAAAGAAAGAGAGAAAGAGAAAGAGAAAAAGAGAGAGAGAAAGAGAAAGAGAGAGAAAAAGAGAGAGAAAGAGAGGGAGGGAGGGAGGCAGGGAGGAAGGAAGGAAGGAAGGAAGATAGTTAGAAACTTCTATCTGCTGGTTCAATTTGGGCTGGGCCAGGCTGAAGCCACGAGCTTCTTCCAGGCCTCCCTTGTGGGTGCAAAGGCCATATTCCAGTGCCCCTCCCAGGCCGGCAGCAGGGAGCTGGATCGAAAGCAGAGCAGCCAGGACATGAACCCGCACCCGTATGGTATGTCAGCATTGCAGGCGGGGGCTTCACCCACTATGCCACAATGCTGGCCCCATCACTTTTCATTTCTTTGCTGTACTTTTTCTGTGAAAGGCAGAGATACAGAAAGAGAACTCCATCTACTGATTCACTCCCCGAATGCCCAAGATCTGGGCACCCAGTCCATGTCGCTGACATGGTTGGCAGGGCCTCAGCCACCTGAGCCATCTCTTGCTGATTCCCAGGGCCTGTATTAGCAGAATTTGCTGCCCTTTTATTTTCTCTTTTAATTACCCATTTTTGTAAAGCATTGGTATCACTGGGGGATAAAGAGGCAGCACGGCTACACACCCTGCTGTCTGTGCAGTGAGCACAGGTAAGCAGTGACTAATCATGACAGATTCTGAAAGAAGTAACACAGTGGGTTATGAACCATGGTAGGCATCCGTTATGTGCCTGGATTGGTGAGCTTCATACAGTTATCATAGTCAGTATATTGTGGTAACTGAACGCATAACTGTGCTATTAGGGAGCTGTTGTTATTTAACAAAAACATAGAGGTGTTGAAATTCATGCATCCTAGTGCTGTGCAAAGCAGGGACTGCTTGTGAATTTTTTTCCCCAGAGAAGAGTGACTCAGTAATGGCATTCATACATCAGCCATTAAATATGTATTATTTTAAAAGTCACCATCCTAAGATATTAAAGATCTTTCATGTAAAAGTATTTTTAGTTCTTGGCTGCTTAACTGGCAGTGTTTTCTAAGCTACTGCCTGTTGATATTGAGGATTCAATGAATGATTACCTTGAAGACTTCAAAGCAGAAAATAGATTTTAGAGGAAATTCCTGGGAATGTGATTTCATGAACAAGCAGGGATTTTTGAAGAACCCTAAATCAAATATCGATAGGCATGTGGGATGCTCTTGTTGCACTAATTGTAGCAGCAGAAGAGGAGGTGACTAGAAGTGATTATTGAACCGCAATGCATTAAAGCCAATAAAAATGGCATCCACAAAACAGTTCATTATGCAGATAAAGACATTAGAATGACCAAAATAAAGGGAAGTAGCAACATAAAATATCATCTATGGGGCCAGCACTGTGGCACAGCAAGTAAAGCTGCCATCTGCAATGCTGACATCCCGTATGGTCACCTGCTTGAGTCCTGGCTGCTCCACTTCCAATCCAGCTCCCTACTAATGCACCTGGGAAAGCAGCAGAAGATGGTCCAAGTGCTTGGGCCCCTGCACCCATGTGGGAGACCCAGATGAAGGTCCTGGCTCCTGACTTTGACTGGCACAGTCCTGCCTGTTGCAACCATCTGGGGAGTGAACCAGTGGATGGAAGATCCCCCACCCCCACCCTTTCTCTCTTTCTCTCTTTCTCTCTCTCTCTCTCTCTCTCTCTCTCACTATTTGTAACTCTAACTTTCAAACAAACAAATCTTTTTTAAAAATTATCTATAATTGAATCATGCCTATTTTTATACAAGAAGGTAGTGGTCATTCTAAGTGTAAGGGCTGTTTTGTTTGTAGTTACCAGTCTGCCAGTGAGGGCACAATTTTGCTTTGTTTTGTTCCCTTCTTTTTCTTGCTCTGAGGAGTAGTGGATGGAGCAAGATGCGTTTCAGCGTATGATTGCAGTCAGTTCTTTTGATTCACTGCTATGTGATGAACTGTTTTCCCCTCCTCTGATAGATGATATTTGTTTTTAAAGATTTACTTATTTATTTGAAAGGCAGAGTTGGAGGACTGGATACAGAGAGAGATTTTCCATCAGTTGGTTCATTCCCTAAATGGCTACAACAGCTGGAGCTAGGCCAGTCTGAAGCCAGGATCCAAGAGCTCTGTCCAGTTCTCCCATGCAGGTGCAGGGGCCCAAGGGCTTGGGCCATCTCCTACTGCCTTCCCAGGCCATAACAGAGAGTGGGATCAGAAGTAGAGCAGCCAAGTCTCGAACAGGTGTCTATATGGGATGTTGGCACTGCAGGCGGTGGCTTTACTTGCTATGCCACAGCACTGACCCCAAATAAATAAATCTTTTTTTTATGTTTGTTTTTTTTTTTTTTTTTTTTTTGACAGGCAGAGTGGACAATGAGAGAGAGAGAGAGACAGAGAGAAAGGTCTTCCTTTTGCCGTTGGTTCACCCTGCAATGGCCGCTGCGGCCGGTGCGCTACGGCCGGCGCACCGCGCTGATCGATGGCAGGAGCCAGGTACTTCTCCTGGTCTCCCATGAGGTGCAGAGCCCAAGTATTTGGGCCATCCTCCACTGCACTCCCTGGCCACAGCAGAGAGCTGGCCTGGAAGGGGGGATACCGGGACAGAATCCGGCGCCCCGACTGGGACTAGAACCTGGTGTGCTGGGGCCACAAGGTGGAGGATTAGCCTAGTGAGCCGTGGCGCGGGCTATAAATAAATCTTTTTTAAAAATGCATGGTTTGTTGTTATTTCCTCTTGCTTTCTCTTCACCTTTTTTATTTTGTTTTTATTTATAGATGGTAGGTGGGTCTACCTGTATTATCAGAAGTGATTTCTTAAATGAAAATAGAAATGACTTGTCAGACTATTATTGTTGTCTGCATGTGGCTCATGGTTTGATCTCTGTTCCTAGTGTGCCCCTAACATTCATAAGATGGATGGATATCCATGTGACGGTGTTCAGGTAGGCTACTTCCTTTTTACTGAATTTTTCGTGGGTACCTGCATGAGAGAAACACTGCAGTGTCAGAATAGGAAGATCATTAAGTGCTTCCGAGTCAGTTCGAAAGAGAAAGGGCCTTAATCATACACGTCTGCTGTATCCCCACACCTGTCTTCTGCTTCAGTTACCTGACATACGCAGTGTTTCATCACTAATTGAGATTTGTTTTTTCATCTCAGGGAATTTGCTTTGGAGGGAGATGTAAAACCAGGGATAGACAATGCAAATACATCTGGGGACAGAGTGAGTATCGAGAGTGCGGCTTGATCATGTTGAAAGTATAATATTAGATTTATTAGGGACGTGTGGGCTAGAGGTACGTTTTACCCCTCTCTGATGGGGGATTCTGAGAGCTGCTGCAGGTCTCAGCAGGGGCACTTTTCCAGAAATTAGAGAAAGGCACCCCTTGGGAAGACATAGCCCCTATATCTGCTGGTGGCGGCGCCTGCGGTCGAGACAGAAGGTGCCTTTGCTGTCAGGTGGAGCCTGTGCCAGGGCGCACAGCTTGGGGAACAGAGCAAACCTGCTTTCAGCTCCTGTTGTGCTCTCCTTAGCTGAGTGCCCTCCACAAAACCTGCCTAACCATATGGGCTGGACATGGTCCCTGGATAGGGCATCCTTGCCTTAGAACTAGAGCATTTCAGCTGCACTAAATTCTAGCCAGCTTTCTAGTTATAGGTGACCTTCAGCCGAGGTAGCACTCTTGTGTCGGAAGGAAGTTTCAATGTTATTTCCTTCAAATTTGTAAAATTTCCAGTAGAAATTAGGTACTAAAAGGTCCATGAAAAAATGCATATTATGAAAAAACTGTGCATGGATTTCAAGGGTTTTTTGCACCAAAATAAACTTTTCTGTTTAATTTTTTCCACAAACATTTTGAGGTACTCATATAGTATATTTTATCTAGAAGTATTATTGGCCCCAACTTTTGGAAACAGTTTTGTTTTAAACTCTTCTAAAAGATAATTTGTACTGAAAAAAGGCTTTAAAAATAATGATAATCTCTAGGTAGTGGCTGTACTCGCTTTAGAAGCAAAAGTATAGTATATGCTCTTTTTAAGCAACTGGAAGCGTTGGGATTGAGAATTTTAGTCATACAGGTTTATACTCTGAACAAAGACACATAGTTTTATTTCTAGGACTTGAGCAAAAAAAAGGAACTATCAACATAATTAGTTGCGTCTTTTTAATTTATGCCAACAGCCATCCTTTGATCTGTTTGTAAAAAGTCATTTTATGCTCTTAGATAACTCTACGAAGCAATCTCGGCTTCAGAGAAGAAAATCTAGGATGCTTACGTGCCGTAAAATGTTATTTTACTGTCAGAGATTTAGCTTGAATTCAAGCTTGTTTAAAAGCAGAGTAAAATTGATTTTGAAAGCTAAGAATTATTAAGAAGGAAGGAAATTCTACCAGTTTCTCAAATCTAATTATATTGCAAACTATTTTAATAAAATTTCATTTATGACTAATAAAGATGCCGAGTGAGGAATCATGCATTACATTTGGTGCTGAGATTGAAGAGTGGAGTATTTTTTATTCAAGGAACCATTAGATAGTATCTTCCCATAATTACTAGTCAGTTCCTGATATGTGTTACTTTTGCAGTCTATTTCTGATTGCCATCAGAAATTATTTTTTTTTTCAAAATTTCCCATAAGCAGTCATGAAAAATCCACCTGAGTCATAGACGTCTGCCCTATAGCTCTGGTGAGCCGTGGGTGCAGTCTTGGGAACTGATAACATTTCAGTGAAGAGGTTAGGTTGCAGTTACCCTTGACTGCAAACAGTTTGAGCAACTCACATGTTATCTCCCTCACTGATAAAAAACTTTCTGTTCTGCATCAGAGGTGAAGGCATCAGACAAATACTGCTACGAGAAACTGAACATCGAAGGGACGGAGAAGGGTAACTGTGGGAAAGACAAAGACACATGGATTCAGTGCAACAAACGGTGAGGCGGGAGTCGGCCTGGAGCTCAGCCCTCAGGCAGTTAGAAGCAGAAGTTTTGAGTTGGCGGTTTTCTGCATCCTGCAGAGCAGGCTCTTGCCTGCTCACCTGTCCCTCCTCAGTGGCCCTGCCTTGCCTGTGCAGAGGGCTCCCCAGATCTTGACACGGACCCTCCCCCTCTCCTAAGGCCCAGGTTTTGGCACTGCTCACCTAGAAGATTCCAGCGTCTGCGAAGCAGCAGGAGTTAAAGCCATCAGAGTATGCACTCAGTGCCTTTGAATGAGTAGCTGGCTCTGGCTTTTCTATACCAACACCTTTTTTGCCAAAGGTCTCAGTATCTCACTGTTTTTGTTCAGAAACCTCCAAGTGATCTGCCCTCCCTCTTCACATTGTCCACTTGCCGGATCACCCATTCTTCCCTTTTGCTCCCCCTCCATTTGTCTTTAATTTCTATTTCTATTGCCGTTGCCCGATCTCAGACCTGTATTGAGCTTCAACTGTCACAGAATCCTCTTTTTGGTTCGCTGTGCCAGCAGACTCTAAGAAGCTACTACCATCAGAATAATCTTCAGAATCTTTTGGACTATGCCAATTCTTTGTCCAAATCTCACTGGTTCCACATAGCTAGTTAATAGTAAGAATAGTAACAACCAATATTTATTGAGTGTGCACCATGTGCTAAGCACTGCATCACACTTTTTGTAAGTATAGCCTTTCATCTGGCAGTCCTCCCCGTCTGTGCTCAAGGAAGATGAGACACGTTTAATTGATTTGCCCCAGGTCAGGCAGCTAGGATGTAATAGAAGTAGAATTAGAATTCAGGCATTCCGATTTCAGAAACCTCTCCTAACCACTTTTCTGAGTGTCACACGATCTTGTTCACCAAATAAAATAGAACCTTAACTTGGCCCTGTACCTCTTCCACAATTTCCCCCAACCTATACTTTTGTTTTCTCTAGTCTTCCAAAGTCTGGCAAACTCTAACATTTCTAATATGGATATTAATACATCCTTCCCCAAGCCTGTGTTTGTGCCGTTTATTCCCTGGGAAGTACCGTTTGTAGCCATACCATCAACAGGCGAAAATTTACTCATCTTTCAAAGCCCAATTGTAAAATATAAATCTCTCTAAATCTTTCCCTGATTTGACTCTGGAAATAAACCGTCTCCCTCTTTTCCTCAACACTTCCACATCCTTCAGTACTATTCTTAAATATATTGACACTAATCTGTGCTTGATAGTTCTTTATGTGTATGATTTAACTTTTTAACCCAGAGTGTAATTTCTTTGAGAATAAAGATGATATCTAATTTTCTTTTTATATTCCAAATCACTAAGGTTCATACACATAAATGTTACTCCAAAATTTTTGAATGACCATTGCTTCTGTGTTTAGAAAGTTTTATAAGAACAGTAAAGTAGTTATATGATTTAAAATTTATTTTTAAAGAATGAATTATAGGCCGGCGCCGTGGCTCAATAGGCTAATCCTCCACCTTGCGGCGCCGGCACACCGGGTTCTAGTCCCGGTCGGGGCGCCGGATTCTGTCCCGGTTGCCCCTCTTCCAGGCCAGCTCTCTGCTATGGCCAGGGAGTGCAGTGGAGGATGGCCCAGGTGCTTGGGCCCTGCACCCCATGGGAGACCAGGAAAAGCACCTGGCTCCTGGCTCCTGCCATCGGATCAGCGCGGTGCGCCGGCTGCAGCGGCGGCCATTGGAGGGTGAACCAACGGCAAAGGAAGACCTTTCTCTCTCTCTCTCTCACTGTCCACTCTGCCTGTCCAAAAAAAAAAAAAAAAAAAAAAAAGAATGAATTATACATTTTTTCTATGTTGATGGATGCAGATCCTATTTTTCTCTTTTCTCCATCTGATAAAATCTGATATTTCCATATATAATCTCAGTGACCTACAAATTAGTCTTCATCAAATAAATATTAAAATTCATGTATATTATCTATTAATAATTAAAATTGTTAGACATGTAGAATATTTAAGATGGTATTTTATACCAGTGAAAATGTTTTATAGGTTAGCTTAGAATCCTACGCAGTAGTTGGGGAAGCAATGAAATATGTTAAAAAAGGAAAAAATGGGCCTTTTGTCTGGAAATCTATAAAATATATATGGTATATAATCTCTTCTTTGGTTCTTGGGATACAGACTGTAGAAACATCTGCATTACAAAAGAGAATCCATCCAAAGGTCATTTGTTCACCTATAAAATATTTAAAAAATAATTTAACATATCCAGTGATGCGTTATGTGGAAAGAATTACTAAGAAAGTCCATTTCGTGGATACTTTCCTTTAGCTCAGCACGTGAACCAGTGGACAGTAAAGGAAAGCATAGGAAACCACTGGGATCTGGGTGCACCAAGAAGAGTTTCAGAGAGGAGACTTTGTAGAGTAGGAGGTCAGTTCCTTTGGCCTTGTTTTCCTCTGCCTGGCTCATGAGTTAATCATGTAGTTGCTGAAAACCCAATGTTAAAATGAGAGTTTATCTTTCTTGCTCTGCGTGGTTCTCTGTATCTTTGGGGAAGGAGATGAAGTAAATGATTGGTACTCTTTCAACACAGGGACGTGCTCTGCGGTTACCTGTTGTGCACTAACGTCGGTAACATCCCACGGCTCGGAGAGCTCGATGGTGAGATCACGTCTGCCGTGGTTGTGCAGCAGGGGAGGACGTTAAACTGCAGGTAACCGAGTAACCACTCCGTTAGTCCTTGCGCTTCCCAGGAGTGCTGTGTAGCGCCCCCTGTCTTCGGTTCCCCGGCGTGTTCTCAAGCTGGAATACGGTCTCTCCACCCAAGGAGATGACTGAGACAATCCTGACGGAATAGAGGTGCAAGGTTGAATGTAGAGTGTCATGTGGTTAGTTGAGGCATGTTTAGTTGGTCAGTACAGTCTTAGTTTACATTTCTTTCTTATTGAGAAAGATGAATGGGGACTTGTGGTTACAGCCAGTTGACCAACTATGTAGATCCACTTTTGATCTCTTCTGAAATCCCACTAAAACATCATTAAATGAATCTTTAACTTTTTTTTATTATTATTTTCTTCTTACTTGAGAGCAGAGAGAAAAGGAGAAAGAGGACAAGAGCAAGCTCTCATTTGCTGGTTTATGCCACATTGGCCAGGGTTGGGCTAAAGCTGGAGCCGAGGAGCTGGAGACACAAGTGAGGTCTCTCATGAGAGTGGCAGGAGCCCAGTGACCTGAGCCATCACCCCTGCCTCCCAGGGTCTGCACTGGCAGGAGGCTGGAGTCGGTCCCCAGGAGTTGGACCCAGGCACTGCAGTGTGGGACACAGATATCTTATCCACTAAGCCAAATGCCTGTTTAAATAGATCTATAAAATTCGTATTTATTCATTTATTTCAGAGGGAGAGAGGAAAGGAAAGCAGAGGAGAGGAGAAAAGAAAAGAAAGGATGGGGCAGAGAGAGCAAGACGGAAGGAAAAGAGGGAAAGAGGGAAGGCGACAGAGAGAGCTGCCGTTCACTGGTCCACTCCCCACCTGCCCTCCACAGCCGAGACAGGGCCGGGTCAAAGCTGGGAGCTGGAAACTCAGTCCTACTTGAGCCACCACTCAGTGCCTCCCAGTGTGCGCAGTAACAGAAAGCTGGATTTGAGACAAGAGCCTCGGATGATCACTGACACCATCAAAAAGAGTGTTAATTGTTAAAGGAACAACAGTAGTCACTGTGCACTTGCTCCCCAGATAGGACCTCTGTCCCTATTGAATTGCAATATGAGAATTGACTGCAAGTTCTCTCCCCAAACTGTACTCTGTATGTTGTGTGTGGGTGTGGGGGCAAATTGTTGAAATCTACGATGAGCATAGAGATGGTCCTCTCTGGTTAAAGTCATACCAAAAATGATCTACAATGCAGAAGGAGATGGGAGAGGGAATGGGGGGCGGGAAGGGAGCGAAGTGGAGGGCATGGGAGAAAGAACCACTGTATTCCTAAAGTTGTATCTACATAAAAACACATTCATTAAATAAATAAAAAAGAGCAGAGCTAGGCTTCAACCCCAGGTACCCAATAGGAGATGTAGGCATCCCAACCAGCAGCTTAACACTAGGCTAAATTCTTGCCTTGTAAATAGATCCTTTTTAGAACTGATAAATCCACAGGGAGGCACAGAAAGAAGGAAGCAGCAACATCATTGACATTTTTGAGTGGGTGGAACGAGCAGGTATGTAGTGCAAGGGTGATCAGTGCTAAGATAGCTGAATTCCCATCAGTAATGGGGAAACCGAGGACCAATCCAGGATAACACTGAGACTTTCCAAAAGGCTCAGGGATTAGATGTGTCCTGTATACTTGGAAGAGGGAGAAAAGAGTGGAGATGGGTGGGCTGATGTATTAAAGAAGCCATTAGATATGCCTGGAGCTCACTTTCCTGATTGGGATACACTGGGGAGTGCCCACCCTTCCATGGAAGATTTGTGTACTCCACAGAGAATTAAAGAAATGGCTTCTAAGCTTGGGGACAGTGTGCACTGTTGATGCCAGGGTCATATGGAAATGGTCCAGCCTCCGTCGTAAGACCTACCTTGGCCCCCTAGCTAAAATATGAAGGAAGTCTCTCACATGAAAAAAAGAAACAGAAGTATTAATATCCATGAGGTACGAGAGATTTCTGTCACAAAATAAGAAAATAGAGTGCTGTTAACAATAGCAACATGGGGCCGGCACTGTGGCACAGCGGGTTAACGCCCTGGCCTGAAGCGCCGGCTTGGAAGCCAGTTCTAGTCCCGGCTGCTCCACTTCCGATCCAGCTCTCTGCTATGGCCTGGGAAAGCAGTAGAAGATGGCCCAAGTCCCTGGGCCCCTGCACCCACGTGGGAGACCTGGAAGAAGCTCCTGGCTCCTGGTTCCAGATTGGCACAGCTCCGACCATTGTGGCCATCTGGGGTGTGAGCCAACAGATGGAAGACCTCTCTCTCTCTGCCTCTCCTCTCTCTGTGTAACTCTGACTGAAAAAGAAAAAAAAAAAAAAAAAACAGGCCGTTCAGTGAAGGAAAACTTGCTGTTGGAAATTTAAAATATGGTGGCAGAAATAAAGCTCAGTAGTTGAAATTATTTCCTAGAAAATAGGGCAAAAAGAGGCAAAGAAATGGAACTGGGGGAAAACTTAACAAATTAGAAGTTAAAAAAAAGAAAAAGGAGGGGCGGGGAACAGCAGTGAGGGAATGTCAGCAAATAACTCAAGAGTAAGGAGGCTCGAGTTTCCGCATCGACAGCTCACCAAGTCCTGGGTACCATGAGTGAAATCACAGGCAAATCTCAGTGGACCATTACAAACTCTGGAACCGTAGAACAGTGAAAAGAATCCTGGATTCCACAGGGGAGGAAGAAAGCAAGCCACAGGAGTTCGAATGGCCCAGGACTTACCCACGGGAGTTCCAGCAGTTAGAGGACAGTAGAAAACGTTATTTCCAGCCCTGACGAGCTGTCCTTCAGGTGTGAGGTTAGAAAATAGAGACTTCCGCGGAGATGCAAGTTTTGCAAAATGTACACTTCTACGCCCTTTCCCAGGAAGCTGCTGGAAATCGGTAGAGGGGAGAATCCAAGATTTACAGGTCTGTGCCGGATACAGGGAGACAGCTGGACAGGAGCAGCCTTGGGAGAGAGCTCTAGTGGGAGGAGCGACGCTCAGACACATTGTGGAGATTCTGACAGCCAGCACAGAGCTTGGGTTACTTTTGAATTAGTGACACATTCTTAGAAAAGTAGGCAAGAAACAGCACACAAATAAATGGCTTGCTGAAGGAAAAGAAAATGTTGTGTAGGGAAAGGATTTAATCCTGGCCTATCAGTCAGCTGAGTAACATTTGTGTAGTTATAATGTGCATATTTGTAATTGATTTAACTATCAATTAAGCAAAAGTTTAAAATGGAAAGATAGGGAAAATGGAAATTTATGGGTGTAGTGTGAGAAGGAAGGAGAAGAGGTAAACTTTCAAATTCTACAGAGGGAAGTCAGCTGATAATATATAAAATTCAATAATAAAAATAGTAATACAAACTCACTATTTAACAATACATGCATAAATAAATAACAAAAGAGGATATTGGGGATGAGTATTGTGGCACAGCATATTAACCCGCCATTTGGGACACCTGCACCCCAAATCTGTGTGCCTAGGCTTGAGTCCCTCCTCTGCTTCTGATCCAGTGTCCTTCTAAACACTTGGGAGGCAGCAGATGATGGTCTAAGTACCTGGGTTGCACATGAGAAGACCAGTGCAGCTCCTGGCTTCTGGCTTTGGCCTGGCCCAGCCCTGTCTTTTGCAGGTATTTGGGGATGAAACCAATAAGTGGAAGATATCTCTGTTTCTGTCTCTTCTTCTATATCATTCTGCCTTTCAAATAAATAAATGAATAAATACTTAAAAATCAATTAGGGATATAAATTATTATGTTCCCAGGAATAATATGTGGAGGAGTAATGACAGGAGGATGCTTTATTATAATTGAGAAACTATTTAACTATTTAAGCTATGTACATGTATAATTTGGATAAAATAAGTAAATCAGAAGAATGAAGATTTTATACTAGTGTTGACATAGTACCATATAAATAAATTGATTTTAAATATACACGTTAAATTCTCATTGTGTTTTTAAAAAAATTTCTAAATAGGATGTAGGCTTGTTATTTGTATGGTAAAGCTACAATAGTTTAGTTATTCTCAAATATAATTTGTACATATGCAATCTTTTGGGAAATAAAAACCCCAAATCACTTCCATCTTTGAAACACATTTGAGACCTTGAAACCTGCTTATCAAATAAAGTACTACTAATAATGGCTTCCTGGACTTGCACATCACAGCCAAGGCAAAATGATACAGCCATTGCAATTCAGACCCTTGTGATAACTATCGTGTTAGAATACTAAATGTTATCAATTTATGCAGAAAGATTAAAAGAGATGTTCAACACGATTGTGCTGTTGGATTTGATCACAGTTACGGGTGGTAGATAGGAGAAGTGATGTCCAGTTTCGAGATTTCGGGCCTGTTCTCAGGAAGACTGAATTAACAGAACAGCGCTTTCCTTTTCTTCCTGACCGTGTTTAGTGGCGGACATGTGAAGCTGGAAGAAGACGTGGATCTTGGCTATGTGGAGGATGGGACACCATGTGGTCCCCAAATGATGTGCTTAGAACACAGGTGCCTTCCCGTGGCGTCTTTCAACTTCAGCACTTGCTTAAGCAGTAAAGAAGGCACTGTCTGTTCAGGAAACGGAGTAAGTATCTGGCACCTCGCCTGAGGAACTGTTCATTTCTTTTCTGTCACAGAAGTATTTCCCTAATTACAGAAAGCCCCATTATCTGTTTCTCATTTGATCATGACTACTGGAATGCTTCTGTTCTGGAATCCCAGAGAGTTTAGGCAAAAGGAAAAAGGAAAATCTTTGTAACCAAATTCTTCTTTCCTCTTATGTAAATGTGGCCTCATGTAATACCAGCTTTCCACAAGTGAGTTGGGAAATGGATTGTAATAAATGCTAACAGGATTAAAAAAAAAAAAAAGCAGGGGGATGCTGTGGTGTGTGGTCTGGGCACTGAGTTATCAGAGCAGACAGCCATGAGGGCTGTAGGCAGAGCAGTGTGTACCCTCTCGGAGCGCATCCTAGGAGTGAGAACGGCATGCGCCAGGGGAAGTCTCCCTGGTGTGAGACAGTTTACTTTCTGTCTTTCAGTTCTCGTTCAGATACTGTAGGTCCTCAGTATGTCAGTTCACAGGGTAAGAATTTATCCTCTGTTAGCGAGGATTCTCTATTGTCTTGTCCAGTGAAGAGTTGATACCAATACAGAAATGTGCGTTCTGTTTCTTTGAGTCTGTGCTGTGTGCTTTTCCTTTCACTGTTGGCTTTACTGGTTGTATTATCCAGCTGAGGCAGAGGATCCCTGATCTGGAACTGTGAGCCCTTGATCCCTATCAGTCACACACACACCTGAGGGATATGCCAGAGGAAGCTGGGGGATGGCAGGCTGTTGTCCTCACTGGGAGGATGGGCACTCTCCCAGCTCAGAGGGACAGGGAGACACACCTGTCTTCCAGCTCAGAGGGACAGGGACACACCTGTCTTCAGGCTCAGAGGGGCAGGGAGACACACCTGTCTTCAGGCTCAGAGGGGCAGAGACACACCTGTCTTCTGGCTCAGAGGGACAGGGAGACACACCTGTCTTCCGGCACAGAGGGACAGGGAGACACACCTGTCTTCCGGCACAGAGGGACAGGGAGACACACCTGTCTTCCGGCTCAGAGGGACAGGGAGACACACCTGTCTTCCGGCACAGAGGGACAGGGAGACACACCTGTCTTCCGGCACAGAGGGACAGGGAGACACACCTGTCTTCCGGCACAGAGGGACAGGGAGACACACCTGTCTTCCAGCTCAGGGGGACAGGGAGACACACCTGTCTTCCGGCACAGAGGGACAGGGACACACCTGTCTTCAGGCTCAGAGGGACAGGGACACACCTGTCTTCCGGCACAGAGGGGCAGGGAGACACACCTGTCTTCCGGCACAGAGGGGCAGGGAGACACACCTGTCTTCCGGCACAGAGAGACAGGGAGACACACCTGTCTTCCTGCACAGAGAGACAGGAGAGACACACCTGTCTTCC